GCTATTTGTTTGCCAATGATAAGTGGTAATAGACATGATGCGCAGAATGAATGAAGACAGTTTTTTATAATAATTGGTTTATGCATAATGTCATTGCAAATAGTACAAACACAAAGACGCACATGAGGGTATAAGATGCAGTTAATATCTTGCAGTTTAATATTAAGATTTGTTTGAGGTGAAAGTTTAGATTGTATGTTATTTATTTTGTGTCTAGTCCAAATATGTTCACTATAACTAATATTCGAAGGTCTTCAACTTATCTTTTTTTTTCTTTTTCTTAATTGAATTTAAAGCAAACACATTCAGTTAGATTGCAATTTTCAGACCATGATCTTGATTTTAGTTCAGTGTTTAAACCTTTTTCAATATTTCTTAATATTGAAAAACATCTATAACACATTTTTTGACGATGCATTTTTTGGTGGTCCTTAACCATTCGGATAAAAAAACAAAATTCTATTCTAACAATATGTTTTGTTAAAAGAACCCTATAATTATCTACACTTTATCCACATATTCTGCATAATGTTTTTAGTTTTGTTTCATGAGATTCAGTCATTTTTATATGTTTTTCTATTGCTAAAATATAAGATTTGATATACAAAATTTTTAAACTTAAAAAAGTAACCGGACTCTATTTTTTTTTTATTATAAAGTTAAAATCTTCTTTTTTTTAAAATATATACAGCTTTAAGGCATAAAAATAAAATAAAAACAAAATATTATTTTATTTGCGCAAATTTTTTTAAATAATCGTCTAGAACACATGTATTTTGATTTCTTTTGTTATAAGTTCTTCTTTCAAAGTATTAGATAAAATAATTTTTAACCTAAATAGTAATGCACTTTTATTAATTTACTTTGTAAATAATAAAAATTTGGTATTGAGGTGATCTTATTTCATTATTTATATTTCCATTATTATAACATCCAATATATATTATGACGGGAGCTTAAAAATTAAAAAATTAATATACATTTTTATTTTACGGACATACATGGAAACATAATTAACTTGAATGTTCTTAAACAACTTGCGGAAGAATAAAAAGAATATTCGCAAACACTAAAAACCCGCCAAATTTAGATATCTCAAAATGCAACGATTTGTTGCGTTTTGAGATATCTAGCATAAATTTTATTAAGAATATATTATCAAATGAACTATTACTTTAATTTTATGGCTCATTCTTGGAGCCACATCTGCAAAGCCGTAAATCTTTTAAACTATAATCATTTGTTTACAAAAATAAACGTTTTATAATATATATTTTTTAAATTGTCAAAATTTTGAAAGTTAATTATAAATTATATATTTTATTAGTGTATTCTTATTTTTTATATCTTCTCCTAGTGCTTGGTTTAATTAATTGTTCGCTAGATTTGTCGAAACAACTTGCATCAAAATGTAAAGAACAGACTCGTGAATCATCAGAGATATTATATAACTCGATTTGGCGCCATAGGGGTCCTTAGGTTCACCATCACCGTGGCCCATGTAGCCACGGCTCTGATAACTTTAAGTTTTTTTCAACTTGAAGATTTTAGAAAATAAAATAACTAACTATAGTTAGTTATTTTATTAAAAATTAATAGTAAAATTTTTTTAACATTCTCTTTAATATGAACAAAACATGTCTCGGGACTTGGTAGTCCCTTTAAGAGAAAAAAAGTTCAATACTAGTATTACCGGTATTGAAATTATTCAGCTCCGAAATACCGGTGTAGCGTTTTAAAATTACTGCGTTGAAATTTTACTGCGCGGAAGTTTTCAACCGTTCAAACTTCATTTGCAGTAAAATAATTAGACTGAGGCAGTAATATTTTAACGTTAACATTTTACTTCGTTATAATTTTACTGCTTTTTAGTTTACAATATATATAGCTTATTTTGTCAAGATGTACAAAAATATTAACTTTAATAATGTCAGGAAATATTTAAATGACAATGCTTTTCCTGAAGAAGTGAATGAAAGAAGAAAAAAAGCAAATTTTAAAATGGCAGTGTAAAAACTTTATTATTGTTGACAATAAGTTGACGTATTGTAAAAAAGGTATTGGCGAGGTAAAGAAAACTTTTATAAAAGAAGTTTTTATTTAATTTAAAAGGTTTTACTTCAATAAAATAAAGTAATTAAACAATATTTTTTATTGTGCATTATTTTGAATTAACACAACACTTTTCAAAAATTCGAAAATTTATAGCTTTAAAACAACTCAAAATAATGTAAAAATTTCATACAAATAATTTTTTTAATTGTATGTGATTGTGGTAATAGATCGGAAAGAACAATTAAACATTTTTAAAGAAGTCCATGAGGGTCTCGATGCTTCTGAGAAAGCTGTTGCATTAGCTAGCCACTTAGGAATTAATGCTGTGAGAAAACAAATTTCTTCAAGATTTTTTTGGCATTCAATTGTGGATGATATCATCAAACATGTAGCTCAATGTGAACAGAAACCTAAAAGTGTCTCCTGCTTTAAAACCTGTTAAAGTAGAATAACAAGTTATGAAACAAGTTGGTGTAGATTTAATTAAGTTACCTGAATCAAATGGATTCAATTATGTAATTGTCCTTATAGATTATTTTTCTAAGTAAACTGAAGCTGAACCTCTTATCGATAAAACAGCAGTATCAGTAGCAGCCTTTCTTTATAGAGTTATTTGCAGGCATGGTTGTTTTCAAATACAAATTAATGACCAAGGTCGTGAGTTTGTAAATTCAGTATCCATTGCACTTCATGATATGACAGGCGTTCAGCAACGTGTAACCTCTGCTTACCATCCACAAGCCAATGGCGTTGTCGAGAGAAAGAACCATACAATTAAGAAAGCAATTGTTAAAGTCTTAAATGAAAATGTTAAAAATTAGACCTCAGTTTTAGATGGAATCCTATTTGCTTTACGTGTTAAAGTGTACGATTCAATTGGGGTATTCGCCATTTTACCTTATGTTTAACCAACAACCCTATCTTCCAATTGATGTAAAATACACAAATGTACTTAATGGTGATAACTACAATCATGTATATGATAAAGAGGTTTTATAAAAAGTTTTACAAATGAAAAGAGGACTTGAAGAAAAAGCCATTACCAATATTGTTTGTGCACAAAAGAAACAAAAAACTGACTATGATAGAAAGCACACAACACCATCAAATGTTTTTGTGGGTCAAAAAGTACTATTGAGAAATCTAAAAAGAGAAAATAGAAAAGGTGGAAAAATGACTTTCTCGTAGCTTGGTCCATATGAGATACTTGATATTTTGTAAAAATCGACATGTTTATTAAGAAACATTAAAGGGAACAACACAATAAAGAAGAAGTACTCTCTACATCATGTTAAATCATTTTTTGAAGAGAAAAGTAATTCAAAATTGCATAGTTTAACTTTTGAGTGTAACGATCAGGATAAAAGTCAAATTAATGAAACATCCCACCAAAGAGGTTTTCCAAAAAATAGCTGAAGTACAAGGACTTAAAATATTTATAATGCCAGATCTTTTTGATGGAGAAGAAAATGATGTACCTTTAAAAATACATGTTTGCAAAGGTGATGGCAATTATTTTTTTCGAGCAATTTTGTTTTTGCTGGCAGGTTCTGAATGTCAACATACACATGTTTGCGATGTTGTTATAAACATATGGTATCAAAGCCTTGTTCCAGTCTTTTGTCTGGATATTTAGGTGATGATGTGGAAAACTACATTACCAAAAGTGGTATGGCCACTGATAGTATATGGGCTACAGATATTGAGATCCTTGGTACTGCAAATCTTATTGGAATTGACATTGCTGTCTGGTCCTTCACTGGACAAAAACTAGCATGGCTCAAATATCCAGCATCCATGAAACTCGACCAACTAACAGCTCATAGTATTCTTTTAGAAAATAAAAACAATCATTATAACGTTGTTTTGTCACTAAAAGCTTTGTAAATGAAATGATATATCAGTTGTTTTACAAGGTTGTTTGGGTTTGAATTTGTTACACCTTCTTAAGCAATTTGTTAAAACAAAATTGCTACTTTTTAAATATTGTTGGTCGTAATATTATTATGTACTAACGTATTACAAACAAACATTTATTACAAATATTACGTATATTTGCTTCGTATGTAGATCGGTAATAAACGATATAGATCAGTTAATTAAGCATATAAAAAGGCATCAAATTACTGGTTCATTGAAACGCCCGTTTCGTTGTATGCAAATGCAATGCAGTAGCACGTTTTTAACACTATATAATTTATGCAGGCATTTGAAATTATATCACCATAATACTTTTGAAAGCAATCTAAGTTGTCTTTTTATCTACATAAATGTACGCGAGTGAAACATCTACATTTATTGTACGCAAAATGTAGATGAAAGACTACTTTATTCTTGAGAGACAACCGTACTTACTCCAAGTCTGAGCCATTTTACTAGCTTTATTGTTGATTGCCTGATAATAGTTTATGCATTATACTCAGGACAAATAAATTAGGAAAATTTAAGAGTATTTAAAAAAATCATCTATTCTTTAGGAGAAAATAGGTCTTTTCAAGAGATTTTTCAAATATTAAATTGAAAAGACGTTTAATAATTTTAGGAAATTTTTCTCACTTACGCTAAGCTTATTAAGATCCCCTCCCCCACGTTTATTAATTTTTACCTATCAACAAAAATTTAAAAAAATCTCAAAACTAAAAAAAAATTCAGTGAAAATCAGCCTTAAAAAGTAGAGTAAAATTTCATTCGCCGATATAAACAAAGTGTAATTAGGCTTTAAAAATTGTCGTAAAAAATATTGATCTAGATTTATAAACTACAAACTATCAATACAACCCTCCGTTTATTAGATTGGAGAAAAAGTGGAAACTCCCACTTTCAACACCCCTGTTTATTAGATCTAAGTTAAACCTCCTCTCCCCTTGTATTGAGGATTAGAGAGTAATTTATAGACATATATAGTCTAACAAACATTTAAAATTAACAATAAAAATTTTCTTTAATTTACAGAAAAATTTAATTTTAACTAAATTGAATTCAAAATTTTTTTTAGCAATCCTTTTTTACCAACCATAAATAAACCCCGAATGCTAATTAAGTTAAAAAACTCATTCTTAAACGGAAATATTTTTGAATTTAAACGATCGCTGTATTTTGAGTCATCTACTTCATCTATATTTTGAGTCGAAGGATATGTTACCTTAAAAATAAAAAATAAAACATTACTTTATTATTTATTAAATGTAAAAAATCTTTATAATTTATTATAATCTATAGATTTAAAAAATTAAACACAAGTAAAGTTAAAAAACGCAACAACAATAATAAAAACGATAATAATAATAACGATAACGATAATAAAAAGATCTAAAAAATCACTTTAAAAAAAAATTTACAAAATCTGCCATTTTTTGTTGTGATTTATTCAAAAAATATAGCATTTTAGATGGCTATAGACATTATTGAATAAATATTTTTTAATAGTTATGAAGAATTTCATAAAAATATTAGTTTAAAAAATATTTTACAATGAGTTTCTGATATTATTTTTTATTGCATTTTTCTCAAAATACAACTTAATATGCGTAAAAAACGTTTTGAAAAAAGCGATAATTATTTTAAAAATTCACCAAGTATTTGTAGTTCACTGTTGCAAAAAATTCATGATAACCCTAGCTAGTAGCCTGTAACTGACCCAGAGTAGCTGACCATGGAGGCATAAAAGCCCATGATGTCAGGATCACAAAAATATAAATTTTGAAATCTAAATAATTTGTTTCGGAAAATAAATCACTTTTTTTTTTATTCTTTAATAGTAACAAAGTAAATTTGTCACTGTTAAAGAATAAAAAGCATTTCTTTTTTTAATTTCACAACATTTAAAAATCGAAACAATGACTATTCTACAAACCAAGATGTTAACAACAAATTATATTGAAGAAAAAAATTAATTTAGCCTTCTGTTGAACAACTGATATTACGTGTGCTTGATATTGAAGTCAATCACACACATTTGCAGTTGGTTTCCATATTCTGGATGTACTATGAATCTCTTTTATCTTTGCGAGTGTTAGAAGTGATGATGCATAGCCTCTGTTATTTGCTCACTGTAGACTCCCAATGATACTTTTTTTTTTCAATAAATATCTCTGACATGGAAAAATACAGCATGCACTTTTGTTAACACTTCTAGATGGCATTGCCAAAAATGAATCTTTGAACATGTCAATTTTAGAAAAACTGTCAGAATAAGTTGATTCAAAGCGACAACGTCATCAAATTTCCAAAATATGTATATTATGGGACAAATGTAAACTGTTGATTTTTTCTCTGCAAGATTTTGCAAACTATCAATGTTCTTCAAAAGTTTGTGGCAATCATTACCATAAAATTGACATTCATGATAAGGTTGTGGTTTTATGTGTAAAGTCTCAATATATTCATCTGTGTGCGGCCATTTTTTTTTAAGATTTTGAAAAGATGATTGACAACTCCATGCAATAAATGCAATTACATGGGTGAAATGAGAGGTCACTATTAGAGGTCATTATGAGAGGTACTCATTATTAGACCAAGTATAAGAATAAGTATATCCAATTTCTTTTGCTATCTTTAAATCACTTTCAGAAGCTTCAAACGCTTTATAGGATGCTTTGGGAGACCTAAATAAACGCAGTTCAGATATATCCAGATTGATGGAGCATTACATCAAGTGCAGGGATGTGATAAAAAGTGAGACTGGTGTCCACAGAGACAGTTGGCCAACTTTAAGTCTCAAGAGATGAAAATATTGTTGGGATTCAAATTGATTAGAAACAGAACTTTGTCGACATTTAAATAAGTTTCAGTCAAACCCTTTGCTATGACAATGATTAGCTGACAATTGCAAACACTGTATCTGGATATATTGATTGTCAAGTTTTTTTTTGGTGGAGGAAAATTGCTTTTCCTCAATAGCTACTAATAAAACTTTTTTAATTCCTACTTTGATCAAAGGAGTGCTAAACACTTTTCTTAATAAAAGAGCTTCATTAATTAGGACTTGTAAATTTTTATATGAACTACTATTTTTTCTTTTTAGCGATCATTCATCATACTCAGTGAGAATGAAAGTATTTTTTATTTCATGTTTGACTAATTATGCCAACATTAAATATTATGTTTTTAAATATAGGATTAAGAATAGCAAATCTGAAATTAAACAATTTTCAGAAAAACTTACAGCACTTTTTCTTTAGCTTGAGTAAGATAAATTGTTCCTTGAGGTGAAGCATCTTTAACAAATATAGCAGATGCTGATATTTGCTCTAACCCCCCCCCCCAAAAAAAAAAAAGTCCAAAATTTTTATCTGTTTTTTATCACTTCTATTTCCTAGTTTTGTATTTTAAAAAAATGGTCACCCTAAGCAGGATGTTTGCTATTTCAAGTCTTGCAAAATATAAATTTTTCCTAGATCTATTCTAAAATAAAAAGTTTCCATTGCTTAGTTTGAAAAATGTAGCAAAAAGAAAATTACTTCCCCAATAACATATTGCTTAACGTGGCCAGATAATGATTTAAAAAAAATGGCATAATACTCAATATTTAATATTATATATATTAAAAAATTTATTTAGTTCGGTTTGTAAACACCTTATAAGACAATCTAAAAATAAAGAACCTTCTAGATTTACTTCTAAAATTCTAAAACATGATGGCGGAAACATAATATAGGGCTGCTTTTCCTGGTATTAAGTGGTCTTAACTTTTTAATCGATAAAATTATGATCCAATATGTGTATGTAGACAATACTTATAATAACTATGTTGTGATCTAATTTTATATTATTTTTGTCTTAACAAGAAAAAAGATAATGTGAAAACAATCAGTTGCATGTTAAACATATTATTTAACAGCAACACAGTTAAAATGCGGTAGTGGTGTAGTGGTACAGCGCTCGCTTCATAAACGAGTGGCTCCGAGTTCGATCCCCACCACGTCCCTGGTAGTACCGCGCTCAACTTGTTTGTCCGCGCAGCGGCCTTGTTCGTCAAGGTTCGTGTTTCGGAGTTATAGAGTTGAGAGAGGGTTATAACCACAAAAAAGTAGCCTCCTTGTCTGTAGTGGCCTTCTCGGCCTTGAGGAGGTGAATTAAAATAAAAAAAAAAAAAAAATCCAAACTATTAAAAAAAATAAAGATATCTTGAAGCATCTGCAATAATTATTTCACAAGTTATAGCTTTCTTGTTATACTTATGTCCATAAAAAGTATTTTTCCTAATTGTCATCTTTAATGTTTTTTTTTTAATCAAACTTTCTGATTTATTAAAAAATGAAAACAATTTCAATAATTTTTCTATTGTTTCCAGTTAAATAAAGTTTGTTTTAAAGTTTGTTTCTGTAAACTTTACAATAATTGAAAGTTGTTGTTTTATAGTGTTACATTATAGTAAAAAACATTTATCATTATCTATATCCTGGCCATTTGTTAAACAATGAAACCACACTATTTCTTTTTGGAGTGTCTAATATCAGGTTTGTTGAGCCACAGATTTCAGCTTGGTATTTAACTGTTTTTTGAGCATTACTTTTTTAAATAAATTTTTATAGAAAAAGTTTTTAAAAAATAAATAAAAAACTTTATTTTATTTTACTTAAGGCCATTTCATTTCTAACTCTAAATGAAAACTATGAATGCTAAATCAGATGGAATCTTTACTTTTTCTAAGAAAAATCAAGTTATCATTATGAATGTTACCACCATGTAATCTGATCTGACATCTGGAATTTTAGTAGAGAAAACACAAATCTGCGTACACCACAAAACTGTCTACACCACAATAACACATGTGTTTTACAAAGTATTATTTATAGCTTTAATTATATTATAGATTTAGATAAGTTATTCAAACTTTTTTATAGATCATAAATATATTTTTTATATTTTTGTAATGTAATAATTTACACATATTAAAGATGAATATTTTTTAAAACCCTATAAAATAAAATATAAAGTTTTTAAATTTTTTAATATTCTTAAAAAAAAAAGTTTAATTAACATTCTTTTCCTTTATGTTTCTTTCATTTTAATACTTCTAATAATTCTTATAAATAAGGGCCATTTCAATAATGTATAAGTGTTTTGGTAAACTTTAATTAACCTCCTACTTACCTAAACTACCTGTGTACCTGTGTTAGTTTCAATCCTTCCTTAAATCAAAGCACGTATAAAAACTATATCTAGCAGTTGCAATATATATTAATATATGTTATATATATATATATACACAAAATTAAATTATTTTAGTTGAAAAAACATACAGTAAAGAGCATTATTAGAAAATAAACTTTTTTTACCTGCTGAGCTTCCAAGAAACTCTTTTCTAATCATTTCAACTTCTTCTGAGGAGTTTATTTTCTGGTTATGATCATTAATTAATTGAGAAGAAAACAAATTAGCTGGTTGACAATACGAATGGTTATTTTTATTAGAACCAAGCTCAGTTCCTTGGTGAGAGGAGAGCTGATTGAACTTCAACGGATAGTGGAGTATATGATCACTATTGTGTTGTTGGTATGGACTTGAAAAAAAGTTAACAGAATAAAAAGTAAATATTATTTAACTATTTCTAACAGAAAAAAGGGGATTCCAAAGTAAAACATATATCAATAAAAAGGGATTTGAAACAAATATCACAGTGGCAAGGAGAAAATAAATTTAAAATTTAATAAGAAAAAGTGCACATATAGTTATAACTTTTTTTATTTTACATAAACTTTTTTCATATAATAGTATTTTCTTACATAACTTTAAATTAAGATTGTAAAAGGATGAAACAGTGTAACCACAACCACTAACATATCACAATCTGTGTAATATGTTAGGCTTATCCACCTTATTTTATAAACCCATATATTTAATTTATCATATTTCTATAAACTCATTCTATGAACTTACACTGCTTGTGTACATTATGTTTAACATTGTAAACTCAATTAACAAAAAAAAATTGTGGTCATATTCTGTTTTTTTTTTTTTAATAAAACATTCTCCAAGAGATATCATCTCACAATGGTACAATTCAATACAAACAGGCACAAACATTTACTTTTATTTAGAAGATATATAATATTTCATGCTGTATGTCAAACAAAAAATGACTTTAAGTATGAGATTATAAGAAATGCTTTTTGTTTAAGATAGATAGCATTATCAAAAACTTTAAGAGCATGCTGTGTGCATTAATGCAAGTGATATTCAGTTTAACGCTCCAAATTTAACATATTAAATTTGGAGTGTTTGGAAGCTATTAAAAAAACCCTTTAAAAAACCAACAACAACAAAATATGACTCTCTTTATATCTAACATAAAATGCAAAAAAAAAGAAACTTATTGACAAGTGATGTTTAATTTGATTGTAATTTTTCAATCTGACTTGATCGATTTTTTATAATTTATAAATTATACCATACTGCCCTGCCAATCAAGAACACCCTAAATGCAAGAATTGAATTATTTTAGTCAGGTGTAGAATATGATTATTTATAAGATTTTAAAAACCTATAAAAAATTCAAGAAAATCTTATATAAAAGTCATAATAACATGTTTACGCATTAGTCTAATATTAAACAGCTTTTGACAAATATCTTAAAATCTACTTTTCTGCATCTAGAGTGTTTTTGATTGCACCTAGGGAGTTCCTGATTGGCAGGGCAGTGTAGCACACAAGTAATAAAATCTTAACAATTTTTTTTTTCAAAACGCTTTAAGTTGCTTTTTACCTATTTTAAGAAAAACGACTTTGAAAAAAAAAAAATATAGTAGAAATGTTTTATAAAACGTTTTTTAAAACTAGTGATTTTTATGAACTTCATAACTCTTGAAAAATATTAATTTCATATTGTTTATAGGCATCTAAAGTAGCTTATTTTGTAAAAAATATGTTAACTTTAATTTTTTTAACTCAACCCTTTTGGTCCCAGTGAGCTACTATGTGGGTCATAACATTTATTAGTAAATATGACCATGCCAAAAAAGGTATTTGATTACATGACAAGGTTAAAAAAATCAAATAAAAAAAAAAATTAGATTTTATTTCACAGCTTTTAATATGATGATGACATTTCACTTACAATCATTTTACTGTTTTTTTTTGGAAGTGAAAGTATTTTTAAAAAACGTTTTAAAAAAAAAGCTGCAGTATTATTTTTGACTAACAAATAAATTTAGAAATAAACTTTTATAATTATTCCATTATTTGGACTAAATAAAAGTTGTTTTGAATGTGGTTAACAGAAAAACAAACAGAAAAAAAAAATTTATTTCAAAACTATATGATATTACTGTATCAATCTTTGAGGTATTGTATTTCCTATTGTATTTTCCAAGTATCTAATGTTAAAGATAAAATTGTTGAGATAATTAATAATGAATTCAATAATTATTTACAAAAGAAATCACTGGCTATTTAAAGAATACAAAAACACTAGATTGTGACACATTTTTGAAAAAATAAAACAAATAAGTAACCATAGTCCATAGTTTCAAGAGTAGAGTAACTCCATTTAGTTACATAGTGACCAACGGTCTAAAAATACCTGCTTAGGAAAAATGCTTTTTTCCAAAGAAAAATTTTTTTTTAATAATGATAATAACTTTTTAAAACTTTAGTAACAATTGGTATTAAGATAAGCAGTAAAGCAGTTAAGGTATTGAGAAGAGCTTAAATTAAATTTTTAATTTCAAACAAAAAGATCATTCCCTGTCAATTCTGCTTAAACACACTTTCCTTCAATTTCTTGACAAATTTTTTATACCCTTATCGTGAAACAAGTTAAAGCAATATTGATGAAGTGCTTGCATTGCAAACAAAAGATACATGAATCATTTCATGTTTAATTTATAAATATACTTTAATATACTGCAAAATTATATTTATATTATTCATTTTTATATTATATTATTTGTAAATATCCAGAAAACAACTCTGCAAAAAAATTAACACTAGTTAACAGTTTAAAAATTACAAGGTTATAAAAATGTCTGCTTTTACCACTCCAGAAATTGAAGGAAGTCCTTGATATATCATAATTTCAAAACCATTATTAAATTCAAAGTTACAAGCCTAATGTTTTATATAATGAAAAAAAAAAGTGAAAACTAGGTAAGCTTTGTTTCCCGCAAAGTTTTACTGAAATTATTTTAAATATATTTTTTAAAAATTATTTTAAATATATAATTTTTTAATTATAATAATTAAATATATAATTTTTTAATTATAATAAAATAAAAATTATTTTAAATATATAATTTTAAAAATTATTTTAAATATATTTTTTAAAAATTATTTTAAATATATAAAAAAATAAAAAAAATTATTTTAAATATATAATTAAATGATCAATATAAAGTATAAATGATAGGTATAAAAACACATATAAATGTAGCTAATAAAAGTCTATACCTATTAGAAGATGTTGCTGAAACAACTATTTGTGCATCTTGAATTTTTTGAAGTGATCGAGGATGTTCCAAAGATGAAAAGTGTTGACCAACGTTGCTTGCTCCATTATTTTTGGTAAAAATATCAATAGACTTTTGAGGAGAAGTCAAATTATCAATAACTTGTTGGGGGGCAAGTGCACGAGAAGAGGAGGTACTTTCAAATAAATTTAAATTTGGTGATTTCGCTATTAATGATGTTTTAACTAAATGCTGAGATAACAAATGGGAGTTAGAGGTACGTTCACTGTTTTTGGATTGAATATTATAGATTTCAGAAGATAAAACATTTCTGTTAATTTCATCATCAGTTATTACTATTGTGTCAACACGTCTAGGGTACACAGGCACAGTACTAGTACTAGTTCTAAACTTATTAGGATGATTCCAATCATGTTTAGAGAGATTATTAGATGTTATACTGTCTTTGTCCTTTAAATACTTTGCATTATGATTTGCATCAAAAGGTAATCTAGATAAACAACTGCTATCTTTTCGCCAACTTTCTGATATATTGTTAGAAACTGTAGTCCCCACAGTACTTCTAAATTTAGGTTGATTAAGATTGTTTTGTGCATAAATAAACTGATTTGAAGCTTTTCCCAAAGTTGGTATACAAATTCGATTTTCAGTAGTGTTGTAAGTAAAATTTACCATAGGTGAAGTAAGCGTCACTTTGCTGTTTTTAGGTTGTAATGTTTTTGATTGGTTTAAATTGGAAGAGAAGCTGATATTATGAGAATAATTGTATTCAGGAACGTGAGTGTATGTTTGATTTGATTTACAGATATTATTTTTACTAATTTGTGAAGAATCTGTTGAAGATAAGCTTGATTGAGTGTAAATTGTGTTTTTTGATCTTTCTATTACTGCGATATGTGATTTATTTAATGGTGATGCTTGATGGGAGTCACGAGATCCCACAGAATGTTGCATACTTTGCTTTAATAAACTGTTTGTGTGTGAAGAGGGAGAAAAATTTGAATTTATAACTAATTTTGACTCAGATGAAGAAACGTCTACTAACTTCAATGAAGATATAGAACATTTATTGTCTGTAGTAACAGAAATAATTTGTCTACTTGGCGGAGAATTAGATATTAAAGTCAAACTATTAGTTGTCATAATTCTTGATGTAACAGGTGCAACTTGTTTACATTGTGAAGAAACATTTAGTAAAGTTAGGTCATTTGAAATAGGTTTGGAAATGCTATTGTGAACAACAGGATTCTTGATTCCAGAATCATTCAATGTGGTAGTAGAAAGAGGTGATCCATTTAAAGTAATTGAACTCTTTTCAGATAAAGAAACTGATGAAACTACAGAACACTCCTTAGTAGAGTCAGTTTTAAATTTTTTTACTTTCCTATTAAATAAATACATTTGAATGATTATTAGAGTACAACATTAAATTGATTTAAAGAAAAAACAAAAAATGCACACATACAATGGCTGGGTTATAGCATTATGTGTTGCACGGCATTCTTTATACAATACTCTAAATAAACCAGTTTTTGCAAACAAAATTGAATAAAATTTTTATTTCTAGAGGTCTTTTATTGTAAAAAAAAAAAATTATAATAATATAAAAAATTTAACTATTTCTTACCTACTTGTCATCCAACCTTTAGGCCATAATTTTCTAATCTCAGACTCCAAAAAGTCCTAAATAAAAAAAAAAGGTTTAATCCAGGCAACAATTTTTGATGATAATAAAAATTAAAGTCTAACCTTTATATATTCCTCAGCTGACATGCTTTTATTTGACTTTGAAAACTTATTTACTTTCACTTGTACAACGTCGCAGAGTAACTTTCTACAAAACAAAAAACTTAAAATAAAATTTTACATACACCTTTTTAAAAAACTCTTTAACTCTTCATTCAGGACAAAGTAAAAACTATTAAATAAGTTTAGGATCAATTTTTCTTTAAACAACAAAATTCAACCTTATATCATCATGCCAAACAAACTTCTTCTTTGGAGTATATTTTTTGACTTTGGCATCAACATCTTGACTCTACATTAAAATTTAAAATTAATTAAATGTTAACTTTAAATTTTAATGCTAATTTACTTTAAATAAAATTTAATTGTACAGGGCTCTTGTACTAAGTGTATAAAATTGCAACATGCAATAGCATTTTGTATGCTGGCAATATTGTATTTCCTTCAGTAACTGCAACTTTTTTTTATATCCTTATAGAGTTCATGCAGTATTGTTGTTTAGCAAATCATTAAAAAAACACATATAGTCTCAAACGGTTCAATAATTTAAAAAAATCCTTTTAAAAATAAGAATAACTTAAAATAAATCTAACATAAGAATAACTTATAAGATAAAAATAATAACCTAAAATAAGATAAAAATTATAATCTAAAATAAGAACAAATTAAAATGAAAAAAAAAATTTGGAAAAAACTAAATATTTGTTTCTAAGAAGACATGTCTTTATCTACTTATTAATGATGTGCTAAACACCAAAATAAATACAGTGAAATCCCAATATCTCAAACACCAGATAACTCGAACTTCCAGTAATTCATGAATACAAATGAATACAAAATCAGTTAAAGAAAAGTACGCTGCTTTAAGTAAATTGGAGAAGAATTGACAAAGTCTCAGGTTGTTATAAAATATGGCATTCCAAAATACGCTGTCAACATGGATCAAAAATAAAATTAAATTTTTTTGAATGTATGAAGACGCAAGGGAATAAGTCTAAACGCATGAGAATTAAAGAAGGAAAATTTTCAAATTTAGATAATCTTGTTTTTAAATGGCTTTTAAATGTAAGGAGCAGAAACGTGGCAAACATCAGCAACAATTCTTAAAACAAAAGCCAGAGAACTTGCTGAAAAAATTAATGTAAATTTGATTTCAAGTGTCTGATGGTTGAGTTGATCACTGGAAAAACAGGTATAATGTTTCTTCCAAGATGGTGGAAAGGGTAACTCTTGTACAGCTGAAATGACCACGTCATTGAAGGAAATAACAACGGCAATATACGGTTGATAGTCTAAAATTTAATAAGCTAATTTTTTTACCACCAAATACCACATCTAAACTTCAACCAATGGATCAAGGAGTTATACGCTCTTTGAAAGTTTATTACAGATCTTTGGCATTGCAAAGGCTGTTTGTAGCTATTGATAAAACAAAAAGATCTTCCTGTTTTCTCCATTTTAGATGCAATGGAAATGCTTAATATTGCATGGCAAAAATTGAAAACCTCCACCATCATTAATTGTTTTGCAAAAGCAGGAATTTCTGAATATCAGCAGAAATCTGCATATTCGGATGAAGACAACGACCTCTTTAGCACAGAACCTTTACTTACAGATGAACAGTTGATAGAAGAAGTTAAAAATACAGCGAATCAACATGATGATAATGACGAGGAAGATAATGATGATAAGCAATCAATCCAGTTTGCCCAAAAGTTAGTGATATTTGGGAGGCACTGCAAGTGTTTTGTGACTAAATGCCCTTTATGGGTGAAAATTTGCAACAAAAGCTCAACAAAACAAATGCTGTCTCGATTATATTTGATAGACACTTAATGGGTGACAACTTAAAAACGAGACTGGATTTAAAGACACATATCTCCTTAAAGGAATAAGATTTTAAAAATAGGAAAACTGTTTTAGAAGGTATTTTTATTCTAGTTTTTAAATATTTTATGTGTTTTTATTTTTTATAGAAAAATGAATAAAAAAATTAATTCAAAACAAGAAGAGATTAGAAAATGTGTGTATGAATTTTATTTAAATTACAAAAATGCTGGTAAAAAGTTCACTTATGACCACTTTAAAGTTGAGAATATACCTAAATGTACTATCTACAAGATAATTAAACGTGCTTCAAGTGGATCTGGGTACCAAAGAATTTAAGGAAGTGGAGTAAAAGCTAAAAAAATGACCAGGACAAACATTGAAAGGCTCAAATTCATGTTTGACCATAAAGACGGATTTTCTCAACGACAGGCAGCTAAAAAGTTCAACTGTACCAGCAACACATTAGTAAAACATTAAAAAAAAAAAATTATATCTTCTTTTAAACTAGTTATGTAAAATCTACTCCATCTACAGTTAATTACTAAACAAAACAAAAGTTTCAGAAGTAATTGCTTCTATGGATTGCTTTTTCTGAAAATGGAATTTCTCAACCTTATTTTGTACCAAGTGGACTGGCTGTAAACCAAAAAATCTATTTAAACAAATGTATTAAGAAGAGACTTATTCCAATTAATCAATAGGTATCATTCAGATGGTGCATATGTATTCTGGCCAGATTTAGCATCATCTCACTATGCATAAACAGTAATTATGTACCTAAACAAGGAAAACGTGCATTATGTTGAGAAAGCGGATAACCCTGCAAACTTGCCAGAATGTCGCCCTATCGAAAATTTTCAAAGTATTTTGAAAGGCCTTGTCTACAAGAATAATTGGCATGCAGAAAATCCTTAATTACGTTCTAGAATCAAGTATTGCCTTAATAAAACTGATATTGAGCTCATACGGAGACTACGAAACTGATATTGAGCTCATAAAGTCAGAAGAAATGGTTTAATTGAGGACAACTGATTATATATTTAAAAACTAGAATAAAAATACTTTCTAGAACATTTTTCCTTTTTATTTTATCTTATTTCTTTAAAGAGACATGTGTTTTTAAATCCAGTCTCATTTTTTAGTTATCACCCGTTATCTTCAAAACTAAAACAGAGTGACATTAGAACATTTTTTAAATTAAAATGAATTTATTTTACTTTTGTGATCAAAACTTTTAATAACTCAAATTGTTTTTACTTATCCGCAAAAGTTCATGATATAGAATGTTCCGATAACTCTAACATTTGCTAACTCAACTATTTTCTAGGTCCCTTGGAGGTTGAAGATATGGGGAGTTCACTGAAGATATATCATTGGAGGTTGAAGATATGGGGAGTTCACTGAAGATATATATATGGGGAGTTCACTGAAGATATATATATGGGGAGTTCACTGAAGATATATATATGGGGAGTTCACTGAAGATATATATATGGGGAGTTCACTGAAGATATATATATGGGGAGTTCACTGAAGATATATATATGGGGAGTTCACTGAAGATATATATATGGGGAGTTCACTGAAGATATATATATGGGGAGTTCACTGAAGATATATATATGGGGAGTTCACTGAAGATATATATATGGGGAGTTCACTGAAGATATATATATGGGGAGTTCACTGAAGATATATATATGGGGAGTTCACTGAAGATATATATATGGGGAGTTCACTGAAGATATATATATGGGGAGTTCACTGAAGATATATATATGGGGAGTTCACTGAAGATATATATATGGGGAGTTCACTGAAGATATATATATGGGGAGTTCACTGAAGATATATATATGGGGAGTTCACTGAAGATATATATATGGGGAGTTCACTGAAGATATATATATGGGGAGTTCACTGAAGATATATATATGGGGAGTTCACTGAAGATATATATATGGGGAGTTCACTGAAGATATATATATGGGGAGTTCACTGAAGATATATATATGGGGAGTTCACTGAAGATATATATATGGGGAGTTCACTGAAGATATATATATGGGGAGTTCACTGAAGGTATATATATGGGGAGTTCACTGAAGATATATATATGGGGAGTTCACTGAAGATATATATATGGGGAGTTCACTGAAGATATATCATAGCATTTTATTTAATGTTAAAACAAAATCAGAGCATTTTGTTTCATATTTTTAATAAAATTTATTTCTTCAATAAAAAATAATTTCCCCTAATAGCTGTTTTTTTATGTTAAAATATTTTGCTAAATGTTAGTAGAAAAGATTTAAATTTTTTTTTCTTTTGATTTTCGCAAATGTTTACGATTTTATGCATCGAAATCCCTTCTAAAATTAAATTTGATTTCACAAAAATTGTAATAGAAATTTAGATGCTAAAAAAAAAAAAAATTTTTGTGTCTTTTCTTCTCTAAATAAACATTTAAAATTAAAATTTTTTTTATTAAACTACAATTTAAAAATTATTTACTTTTAAATTAAAATAAAATTCTTCATAAAATAACATTTTTTTAGTAACAAAACAAAAAACTAGATTTATATAGGAAAGGTGAGGGGAGAGAGAAAGGGGTGTAAAAATTTAGGATTTTTTAACAAGATTTCATTACATTAATTTAAACAATGTGCTAACTTCACTTTAAATTTAAATTTAAACTTTAAATGGAGTAAAAATTTATCTTTATTTAAGTTAAACACAATAGTAAACAACTAAAATGATTACCTCATTTGACTTTATAGGATCAAGCCCAGTATGCTTAATTCTAATAAAATAAACATGTTTATATTTTAAAATTTGAATGTTTATATATTTAAATTTAATTATAAAATTTATTTACTATGATAAAATACTTTTCAGCTTGTTTGAATTTGCATTTAAACATAATAAAATTTCAAAAGAAGAAATAAAAAAAACATTTTATTTTGCTTTATAATTTATACATAATATAAATATAAATTTATACATAATATTAGTATAAATTGCCAAATTTAAATTCAATTAAAACTTAAATAAAATTATAACTTTAACACTACTCTAAACTTTTTATCTCAATTTTTAAAAATTGATGATGAAAAATTGGGATGTATGAATTATAGTAAAAACCTTATTTTTTTCTAGCTCTCAAAAACAGCAAATTACAACAAAAAACCAAACTAAATCTGCTGTGGTAGTAAAGATACATGAACAAATCAGTGGAATTTTTTAAAAATCTTAATCAACTGTTTGTATATATTCCTTAGATATCTTAACACCAACAAGTTATAAATAAAAAAATCAAGCTTACTGTTCTCTAGCCTGTTCTTGTATAGTTTCATCAACTTGATCCTCATAATTTTTTTTCTGTTCAACCATGTTCTTTTCAATGGCTGGACTCAAACAAAAAAAAACAAAAAAACATCAGCTTAATTAACACACACACACACACACACACACACACACACACACACACACACAGCTTTGTAAACTAGTGAATCAGATAGCAAAAACTAAACCTTATTGCTGATAAACTTTTAAAAGGTTCAGTATTTTTTTAAATGCAAACCTTACAAACAAGGCGCATAGGCCTTGTTCATCTTGTTCTGTGTTTTGGAGTTATAGAGTTGAGAGTTATTGAGGGTTATAACCAAAACTAAAAGTACCTTCCTTGACTGTAGTGGCCTTCAAGGCCTTGGAGAGGGGAATCGAAATAAAAAATTAAAAAAAAGGGACAATAGAAACAGTTCTGGCCATGGAGAGACCTCATCCGCCTCAATACTAAATTATTTTTAATTTTTAGTTTATACTTTTTATATATACCTTCCTTCAAAAGTTTTAAAGGTACATCTTCAAGATCTTGCTGATCCTTTACAATAAGACGCTGACATCTTTTACGCAATGTATCTTTAGCACATGGCAAATAAAATGATACATGTTCGTATACTCCCTGCAAAAAAACATCAATATATATATATATATATATTTTCATATATATAAATATATATATAAACATATATTTTCATATATATATAAACATATATATACATACATATAAATATAATAAATATATATGTATATATATATATAACATATATGCATATATATATGTAAATATATATGTATAAATATATGTAAATATATATATATATATATATATATATATATATATATATATATATGTATAAAGTGTATATATATATATATATAGGCAGTCTATCAAAAAAAAAAACTTTTTTAAAAAGTTTTAAAAAAGTTGTAATCATATGACAACGAGACAGATGCTTAAGCAGGAGCAGATTCAACTAGATAATACCTTTTTTAACCTAAAGTAGAAAAGACATCATAAGAAAAACCAGGCTAAATATGATAACAGATTTTCATACAGTGGTGAATAAGAGATTTGTAGAGGTAGAGAATAGAATCTGTAGTTAGGAAATAGCAAAAACAATAGAAGCAACATTAGCACATGCTAACTTAGCAATAGATTGCATATATGCTTTCCATAAGAGACCAGTAGTGAATGATAATCCAAGAAGGGGTAAAGTAGAAGACTCAGTAAGGGCATTGACATTCATCAATATATAGGAATATCTGCAATATTAAAAATAACTATTAGCACAAAAAAACTGAGTTCTGTTCGGGTTAAAACCCGAGCCACTCCAAACCTAAAGTTTTCAGTAGGAAGAGATCACATTCAAATTGATCACATTTGAGCAATCAAAAAGTGGTTACTGACCAAAACTAGAGTATATCTTTGTATCACCTTCAAACATAGACGCATTAAAGGTAAAATTGTAAGCAAGTTCATTAATATAAATGAGAAGCAACCCAGGTCAAAAGATACTTTTGATATCAATATTTTGTCTAAATAAAAACACTCACCTTGGGCAGATGTAAAATGCATCCGGCAACTGTCTTGTAGAAGACCTCGTAGGCAAAGACTTAAAGGGTAAACAGATTATATCTGTTGACCAACTCCGCACCCCTTTTTCATCTATTAGGCTGGCACAAATGCAATTATAATACATTATTTCCAGTTTAAGATGTTGAATGCTAGATCTTCTTGACTAAATGCATGGTTTTGCTTGTGTCTCTAAAACTCAGTTTTATGGTTCTAAGGCCAGCTGGCAGTCAGGTTTCCCAAACTCTGTGGTAGCTCTCAGAGAGGTTAATTCCATCAACAGTTATAAAATATCAGAGTACTTACAGTGTCATGTTGCACAAAGATAGTGTCCCTGTCCGTACTTTTGGTGTGCATTGTCAAGGCCACATTTGGAGCCTTTGTTACAGCTCAGGGTTTTTCGTGGTCTTTGAAGTAACTTTCCTTCTGTTGAGTCTTATCTCTAGCAAAATTCATCAGATCTACTTGCTCTTTGTGAGACTAATTTGAGTTCAGCTGTCTCATCTTGTGATCTTAGTGTTGATGATTATCTTCCTTTTAACTAGTAAAGACTCCAATAGTCACGCGCGTGGCCTGGGTGTATACTTTCTTAAAAACGAACCCATTTGTCAGGAAATTAGATTTGAATCCACTCATTATTCTTTTATGTGCTTTTGTTTAACACCACTTCACTCTCTCACCTTTTTCTTTGTTCTTTATTGCTTTCTTTCATCTCAAGACTCCACTCTTTTTAATGTTATTTATAATCAAATTGACTTAGCCCTATCTCGTTACCCATCAGCCAATGTCGCTGTTGTTAGTGACTTTAATGTTCATCACAGTGAATGGCTTGGCTCTAGTGTCATGACTCTGCAAGCATTAAGGCCCATAACTTTTACCTTTCTTAATCTTTCACTCAAATAGTCAACTTTCCAACTCATTTTCCAGACAACCTAAATCATTTACCTTCTCTATTTGACTTATATCTTGTTTCTGATCCTAGTAATTGCTCAGTTTTTTCTACATTCACCCTTAGGTGCTTCTAATCACAGTTTGATCTCACTTAAAAAATTACCTCATTCTTCTTCATCATCAAAATCTCCTAATCATTGCACCTGCCTTTAAGCTGACTGGGATTCTTTCTGTGATTTTCTTTGTGACAGCCCTTGGTAGAAATCTTTTGTCTTCCTGCTGATAAATGTGTTTCTTACATAACTTCTTGGATTTAGGCTGGCATGGAATCTTTTATTCCATCTGGACCATTCCAAGTCAAGCCTCCTTCTTTTCCATGGTTTACCTCATATTGTAGTACAATACAGTACAGTACTGCTGCAATTTCCAATTGAAATTATTATTTCAATATCTATCAGCAAAACAATTCTTCACTTTCACATGCTGGTTTTCTCCATAACCTTTCTTCTTATGGTGTATCAGGTAACATCTTTAAGATTATTGAATCCTTCCTTTTCAATTGTAGTATAAAAGTTGTCCTCAATGGACAGCACTCTTTTTCATATCCTGTTATTTCAGGGGTTTTTCAAGATTCTATCCTTGACCCTATACTCTTTTTAATTTACATTAACAATCTTACAGATATTCTCACATCTAAGATGGCATTGTTTGTTGATGATACTACCATTTATTCTTGTCTTAATAAGAAGCCAACACTCTCTGATCACTTGGAGAGGGCATTTGTGCTTGAAAAGGATCTTACTTCTGCTACAGCATGGGGCTCACAGTGGCTGGTGAATTTTAATTCAGATAAAACCCAAATCAGCCAATTGTTACCGCAATAATTTAGATCTTCCTATACTAATGAATGGTGATGTACTCAATGAGTCATTTACCCTTCATCTTTTAGGATTAACTCTTACTTCTGTTCTTTCTTGGAAACTGATGCTAATTTTGCAAATCCATTGCAAAATTAGCATCAGCTAATTTTGCAATGGATTGCAATTACCTTAGCTCCATTTGAAATGGAGCTAAAGGTTGCATCTCTTTATCGTGCTCGACAAATACTATTTTCTACAAATACTATAATGGACACTCCTCTAAAAAGCTAGTGTATCTTGTGCCATCTACTAAAATTCATTATCATGTTACTCCTCATTCAATTAAGTCTCATCCTTTTTCTGTGACTATTTCTAAGTACTCTAAAAACTCTTATTCACCTAGTTTTTTTCCTCGAATATCAGTTTTTTAGAATGGAGTTATCTTGCTCTATAAATCTCCATCTTGCTCTATAAATTTGGTCTTTTCTTTTCTAGTAACTTCCAGTGGTTGCTTGCAGCCTTGTTGGAAACAAAAATGTTGAAAAAAAAATTATTCAATGACTTAAAAAATTGTCTTAAATACATTATTTGAAGCAAGCTTATGGAGAAGATCAGCATACCATATTTTTGATATATCAAAATCAAAAGCCCTTGCCTTGTCGCTTTCATCCAATGCACAATAAAACCTTCCTGTTACAATAATTAACAAGTCAGCTGAAGTATGATTAAAAAATTAAAAAAGTCAGTAAAACCCGTATTAACTTTCAGAGAAGGTATTTTGAGTTTCAGAGAGTTAAGATATAAAAAATTTTTTAAATAAGGATTCAAAGACTTTGCTAGTAGGATGACTGAATTGATAATAGTTAGAGGGATCTGAGCTCTAGAGTTTTTTAAAATTGAAACCAAATTTGTCATTTTCCAGCAGGAAGAAAAACAAGATTCAGTTGTTCACTTGTTAACTAGTTTAGAGAGCAATGAAGAGAATTTTTATAAGACTATGACAGGAATGTTATCCGGATCATAAGGTGAAAAAGAACTTAATTAGGAAATAATTTTTGCAACAAAAGGTTTGAAGTTCTATCAATTAACATAGTTGCTTGTTTGGGATGACAGAAAAAATGTAACCATTGAATTAAAGAGATGAGTTAGAGGAAAATGTTTTGTAAAATAAATCATTGTAAAATATTTTTTAACCATGAATTTATTTGCATAATTGGAACAAATTTAGTGTGAAAATGGATCTAACATGATTAAATTGTTGTTGGTCAGATTTTATACTTTATAAATTATATATATATATATATATATATATATATATATATATATATATATATATATATATATATATATATATATATATATATATATATATATCTAGAACAAATAAATAATCAAACAGTTAAACGAGGGTAACATAATCAATCAACCATGCTAAAATTTATTTTTAAAAGGATTTTTATTTGAATTTAATTTTTTTGATTTTAAGTTTTTGTTTTTTATAATTAATTTTTTTTAAGGATTTCTGATTGTCTTTGTATCGAAAATCAGTATCAGTTGTCACCTTTTCTGCTCTCATAATTGTGTGGTTGCCGTTTTAACAAATTTTTAAAATTGATATTGATATTTGATTTTTAAACACAATTAATTATTTACTATTGTTATTAATTACATGTTAAAAATTAGTGACTTAGATATTTGCTTAAGATGATCAACATTACTATTTGTAAAGGTTGTTAAAATATTTTTTTACAGAATATATATGAGTGATCGATTGTATTAAATCAAAACAGTTAAGCAACAGTCATAAATCCTTAATAAATGCTATAATATTGTTTTGTTAACTACTATGGATGATACAGATCATAAACCTAGCAATGAAAACAAAAAATGAAAGTTAATTGGAGCAGCTACCCACAATTAGCTAAGAAGGTTCGTTTGAACATGGATGCAAGCAATTATCATAAACTAACATCATTTTTAACCAAATTGTCGGATACTCGGTCAGTTACAACTTCTGCTGTAAATACTCTAGTGTCTGAATATCAAGATCTTTCTGAAAGTGTCCATACAGATAGTTGTGAAACTGATACGTCTTTTGAAAGATTTCAACACTACTTCAAGCAGACAAACAATAATGGTATCAGGTCTACTAATTCTAAATATGAAGCGTTTGATGAAAAAGAACTTGCCCCATACAAATAACGGTACTAGTTACAACTGTTCAAGAACCACCTCGATCAGACTTTCCTTCAGATCCCGGACTATATAATAATATGAGTTTGACCGCAAAGCTGATAAGGAAGTTGTGTGAAATAGGACCATGTCAGCCAGGTCTACACTAATCTTTCCAATTTCCAACTGATGAAGCTGGCCATAAGTTCCAAATATCTTGGTATAAAAAAACTATTGGAAAGGGAAATATAAAAAAGGAAAGATATTGGCTTGTATTTTCACCTAGCAATCAAAAAATTTACTGCCACGCTTACTGGTTATTTGCTGATTTTAAAGCTGAAAATTATAGCAAAGAACGGTCTGATACAGCAGCAAGAGTTTATGAGTGGAAAAAAGGCATGGAAAAAATTGTTAAACACAAAACTTCTCACCAGCATCAAAATGCAATACGCCAGTATTTGCTAACTAAATATCGTATTTCAAATGATAAAACTGTTATATCTGATCTAATAAGTCAAGAGTGTTGCCAAGGAGAAAAGAATAGAGAAGTCTTAAAACAAATGATTGACATAACATTGTTCTTAGCAAAGCAGGGATCATTTAGAGGACACAGAAAATTATTAATGTAAAATAGTTAGTAAAGGTAAAGCTAATAACAATATTCTTGAACTGTTAACACTATTATTCAAATGATCTAACTTATGATATGATCTCACTTTGGACAATCATCTTAGGTATGAAAAGAGGATTCAACTGTATTTAAGTCAAAAATGATTGGAAAAATGATTTAATTCAATCGCTTTCAACTGTATTTAAGTCATAAATGATTGCAAAAATGATTCAATTCAACCGCTTTCAACTGTATTTAATTCAAAAATGATGTCCAAAATGATTTAATTCAATTGCTTGCTTCTGAAATTTCATCCACAATCAACAATGAAATTAAATTAAATTAATTATTTTTATTATTTATTTTTTAATACTGAAACTAAAAAAAATATATAAATACATTTATGTTTAATTTATAACTTAAAAACTAGTAATAGCAAATAAATTTTTTTTTAACACCTGTTAAGATCAGATTCATGTATGAAGGATGTTCAAATATTAACAACCTAAAAAATCTATCACGCCCAATAAATGTGTTTTATATAATAAAATAACACTGAATTCAAAAAATTTGGAATAAATTTTTTTAGTTGTTGCCAAAAACCCTTGAACAATAAACAGGTCCATAAGATTATCAAAAAGAAAAATTCTTATTTATTAACTTCAAAATTTTTTAAATTTATCTTATACTTTAACACGCATAACAATTGAAGTTTGTGAATAACTAAAAATAAAAAAAGTCCATTTTTACAAATTCTTTACAATAAGTTTTCATGTGAATTGGTGGATTCACTGTGTCTATCTATTTTCTCACTTTAATTGAGATTAAAGTTAAAAAAAAAAAAAAAAAATTTATATTCATACAAATATATTTGCATACTGAGCCTTACATAGAACATCATAGATAATGTTATATTTAGATTGGATTCAATACATAAACAATGGGTTGTATAGGTATTATCTAGATATGAAGTATTACTACTGCAACTTATTATTTCAAAAAACAACTTTTCTTTATGAAAGAACTGCTCTCAGATCGGCATTTTAAGTATGCAAAATATGTTCGGACAGTGCCAATCTAAATATGCAAGGATAATAATAATAACAATAAATATCTATATATATATATATATATATATATATATATATATATATATATATATATATATATATATATATATATATATATATATATATATATATTTATATAAAGTCACTTACATTTCTTAATCTAGGCGATAAAACCTTACACTCTCGAGCAAATCTAAAGTTTTAAAATATTATTGTTAACAAATCTAAAAGTTTTAGAATATAGTTTAGATAGTTTAACAATATAGTTTATATATATATATATATACAATATAGTTATATATATATATGTATATATATACATACATATATATATATATATATATATATATATATATATATATATATATATATATATATATATATATATATATATATTATATATATATATATATATATATATATATATATTTATATATATATAACAATATAGTTTATATAGTATATATAATATAGTTTAACAAATCTAAAAGTTTTAGAATATAGTTTTAGAATATAAGTTTAGAATATAGTTGCTAACAAATTAAATAACCTAGAAGTTTTATTTTTAAAATTGAAAGAATTATAAAAACTTTAGTTGAAAAAATAATTAAAAACAGAATTAAAGATGCTTACTTTAGCAAAGTCTGGTTGACTTCTGGAGTAAAAAATGATCCTTTATTGTGAATAGATGCAAAAGAACATAACTGTTTGATAAAAAACAACAAATTCTCATTAAGACCACTTGGTAGAGGGGATTCAACTTTAACTGGAGAGTTTTTAAGACTTTCATTTTCTGTTTTTTGTTTGTTAGACATATTGGTAATTGCAGTTGTTATTAAGCTATTGTTGACAAGAGTATTTACAAGACTTTTATGTTGAAAAGTGATGCTACTTGTTTGAACTGTACTTGTAATTATAACGTCTTGTTTCTTATCATTCTCAGGTACAATTTTTTTATCTGACGAACCATTTACTGATTCTTTAATTTTAGATAGCGGCAGATCATCTTCTAGGGATTTGTTCAAACCACCATCTTGAGAAGTCTCATCATGAACAACAGAGCTATTCTTTTTATGCTTTTTTTTAAAAAGTATTCTAAGAAGGAAAATTTTTAATTATTACATATGTCAAATGCAAATCATTTAAAAATATTAGTTATTGAGAATTATATCAGGATTTTTATTTTTAGAAATTAACAAGCCTAATATTGAAACTTTTATTATGAATTATTTGTGTACCTAGGCCTCCTTTTACCTAGAAGCAGCCCACTTTATTTGAAAACTATAAAGTTCTAAGCAATACTTATTAGTGAGGTGATTATTTATAAAAATATTTATTTTTTAATCCTATTTTGATTCTCAGTGAGCGATGCTATGACAAGTTATAATTGGAAAATGCTTTTGATGGTCTAAAGTAAGTTTTTTGAGGTATCTTAGATTGTTTTACAGTCCTAGAGGAAATACTTTTTTATAAGTTCTAGCATATTATATTGTTTCTTACTTAAGTACTAAATGTGATGTTCAATAAGTTTCCTCTCAATCAGGATTAGTTAATAGATGACATTTTTCATGAAGCTATTATTTCTTGTACCAAGGGCCATATAGTTTTCTTGTACCTAGAGCAATTTTGATTGGTGCAGAATTTTTTTTTCTTCTCACGGTTGTTTTGCCAATATTGATGCCAATACCAATGAATCAACTAATTGTTAAAATTTTGAAAATATAAAACCTTACAACTTTAAATCGTGTAATCTTTTTCATGGAATCAGTACTGGTAAACAAATACTTGGATCCAATTCAGAGCCAAACTGTTATTTTAAAATATATTAGAGAAACTCAGTTAAAAAAATATACATTTTTTAGTTTTTTTTTACTATAAAAAGAAAACTTTCAAAAAAATAAATACAATTTTAAAGGAGCGTTTTTTATTTCAGTTTTAAAAAGAAAATGGTACTATCATAAGCAGTTTACTTATATTTCTTTATTAATTTATTAGTAACTTAGATATCTAAACAACAATCATGTTGTTTAGATATATAAATTTTTTTAGATAATGAAGTTTAATGGAGATAATGAAGTTTTTTTTTTAAATAATTTTAAGATAATGAAGTTGTTTTTAAAATAATTTTATTTTGTGATGTTCAACCCCCACCATGTCCCTGGTAGTACCGCGCTTAACTTGTTTCTCCGTGCAGCAGCCTTGTTTGCCAAGGATTGTGTTTCGGAGTTATAAAGTTAAGAGAGGGTTGTAACAATAACTTAAGTAGCCTCCTTGACTGAAATGCAGAGCCGGCGCTAGGGTATTTGGCGTCCTAGGCAAAAAAAATTCAACCCCCTTCCCCTCCGAAAAAAAATATTTTAATTTGAAAGAGCAAAAACATAAATATTAATTTTATTTAAAATGGCATAAACATTATAAAATGATAGACATATTTAAGTATTAAATATTTATTTTTGACATTTTAGGATTTCAGCCACTCAACTTTTATTTACAAGAATAAAAATATTTGAGATTTTATGACATTCAAAGAATAAAAGTAACATTTAATAGAATTAATGAAGACTATTCCTAATATTTAATCGCACCAAAATAATAATAATTAACCTAGCTTATCTCAAGAAATAATAATAAGTAATAATCTAGAATTATGAATAAAAATTGAAAACTTGGAATATAATATAGTTACAAAGAATAAAAAAACTTGATTCTGATTTGATGTTTAAATTATTAGAGAATTTGAATTTCAGAAACTAGAAAGTTCATTTGTATTTTGAAAATATGTAATAATAAAAATAAAAGCATATTTAAATTTTTTATTTTTCTGGCTTTTTTTGTTGCAAATGTTTTTACAATTTCTTTCAAATTTAATATTGGTGATTCTTCGTGTTCTATCGAAATTATTGATAATCCCACCAGTCGTTCTTGTAACATTGTCGACCTCAAATAATTTTTAATTATTTTTAACTTCGAAAAACTTTGTTCGCCACTTGCAACGGACACTGGAAGTGTTAATAGTATTCTTAAAGAAATACATATATTTGGTAGACAGTCAATTAAACGTTGTTCAACTATAAAATTTAGTACTTCATGTGGTGTCATTTGTTGTGGGAGTCTTCCAGAAAGTACTTTGATATCATTACAAAGATCCGCTGCACTAATATCTTTTTTGAACCATGAATTAAAATTTCTTCTAGATTTCTACAATTTTTTAATAATTCTGCTGAAGATTTTGAATTTATAGAATGAATATCATGAAGGAAGCCAAACATACTATTGTATTAAAAAAGGGCAACCATGAACTTGAATATGCAAATAGAATTTGCAAGCCCTTTAGCCTTTCGGGAAGAATTTCTTACTGATGTAGTTTGTAATCTTGGATCCTCAAATATTTGCATTAAAGCATCGTAACATTTTCCGAAATTGTATCGTAATGGTTTTTAAGCATTAATGCAGCTTTCTCATCTTGTATCATTTAATGACTTGACAGTAAAATCTGGAAAATAGCTACGAAAAACTTGCCAACGAGATGGTGATCCCAAAAAATAACTATAAATCTGTTGCACCACACCAAAAAAACTTATTGCATCTAAGCTACACTTGCATGCATCATTCACAACTAAGTTTAGTGAATGTGCGCTGGATGGAATAAAAAACGCCCGAGGATTTATATCCAAAATTTTTCTTTGTACCCCATTCTCCTTACCCTTCATGTTGCTTCTGTTATCGTATCCTTGTCCACGGAGATTTTCAATTGGTAAATTAAAATTTTCCAATTGTTCAATTAATGTTTTTGCCAAAAAACCACCTGTAGATTTCTTCACAGGTATGAATCCTAAGAAATGCTCTTTAATTAAATCCCCATCATGCGATGTTGTTGATTCTAAATCAACAAAACGAATTATTATTGTCATTTGTTCTGTATGGCTATTATCTGGGGTGCAGTCTAAAATTATAGAATAATATTTAGCAAACTTTACTCTAGTCAAGATATTATATTTTATAGCATTTGCTAGTATTTGTATTAATTCGTTTTGAATTTCTTTTCCAAGATAATGAGCAGTTTTAATTTCTTGATTTTTAATTTTCAGCACATGTTTATTCATTAATGGGTCAAATAAAGCGAGATACTTAACAAATTTTAAAAAATTACCATTGGTGTTATTGTAAAGCTTTTCATTTGTTCCACGAAATGCCAAGTTTTGCGTAGCCAGTACTCTGACTAAGGCAATTAATCTTTCTAAAATTTGTTGCCAATATTGTTCTTTTTCATTAATTTTTTGTTGGTTAATATGATCAATGGTTTTTTCTGTAGATAAATGTATATCAAGTTCTTTCCACATTTGAAAATTTATGAGATGTGAATTACTTTTTTCATGAGAAGAAAGAAGTGTTCCAATATTCTTCCAATCGTTTAAACCTGAACCTTATAAAGCCGGCAAACTACTTTTGCCTTTACCAAATAATTTACAACATAAACAAAAAACTACATTTTTCGAAACTGAATATATAAGCCAAGAACGAGAGACTTCTTCTCTATTTGGTAATGTCCGCTTGTAATAGATTGATGAAAATTTTCTTTTTTGTTCATCTTGATCTCGTGGAAAGTTATATTTTTCAATTTGTTGCGGTTTATTTTTTATAACAAATTGCCGAAAATTGTCACTAAAATGAGTAGGCCAATTTGCAGGGTCACTGTAGTCTGCAGATGATTATATGCTAATTTGAGTTTCAGTTTCAATTTGTCTTGAAATATTAACAGCAGGAGTTGTTTCAGGTAGATAAATTTGGTTTTCATTGATATTTACAACTTCATTTTGTTGATTTGAAATATTAGCATTATTAACAGTTTTATTGTCAACAATCACTTTAGATTTTTTACTCACACCGCTATCACTTTCAGTAGCAGAATCAGTACCTGTAGAATGTGTTTCTGCACGAAAATATTTCAAAACAGCTTTTCTTTGACTTTCTTTATTTTTCTTTACTGATAGTCTCTTTTTCTCAGACATGGTTAAAAAACATAAGAAATGTGTAATTATAAAATATTTACTTATTACTTGCTAGCGTACAATAGTAGAATTGAAGTAATACACTACCTTTTCAATCAATAAGAATATTGTCAGTTAAATACTTATTATGAATAAAATATAATAGTCAAAACTTAACTCTTTCGCTACCGTCGTTTTAACAAAAATCTTTTTGCTGTGACCACACGTTTTTTTGAATAAAATTTGGATGAAATAACATAAAAAACTAATTAAAATTGGAATAGTATATCTTTTCAAAAGCGTAAAAATTTGTTAGCTTTGTTCAATTAATATATAGTTTGTTACAAACTATATATTAATTGAAAGATAAACAAATGAACTTTTTAATTAACCAAGTTTTTAACACGCATCGTTGAACAGTAAGAAATGCAAGGTACTTAAACCATCGTTTTTATAAATAGTAACATAAAAAAATAAAAATAAAATAAATAAAACATAAAGTCCGAAATAAAACTTATTTAATGTATAAAAAGAAAGTTTTTCTTGAAAAAAAAACCTTTGTAATTACTTAGCTAAATACTCACATGCTTCTACAAGTTAAATTTTACAGTGTTAACGCTGCTTTATTTTACTAATTACGAACTAAATTTAAAGAAATTTTTTTTATCAAGGATTACTTGAGATTTTTTAACTTTGTCAAGTGATAACTAATTATAGTTACACATTATGGCTCATACTTGTACTTGATTATGTAGAGAACTAATTAAACTTTAAGAAAAAACAAATTATGTGTCTAGATTTATGCACAAAACAGGATAAATTGTGAAGCATACTCGAAAGCCGCTACCAGCGGCTTGCAGTCATAATAAAAAAAAAAATCAAAAGCCGCTATCAGCGGCTTGTGGAGGGAAAGACTTAAATTGACATTTATTCAAAGAATCAGAGACAGACAGAAGAAGTATCTAGTACTCGTTAATCAAACGCAAGCGAATGAATGTGAAATAACTGATTGAATATGCGGGCGATCGAATGAACATGAGGAACAGTGAACGGATAATATACAATTTTGTTTGTTGTGTTTATAATTTAAAAAGAAAATATTTACTTTATTTGGAAAACGCAACTTAAGTAGTTAATTATCTCTCATTTTATTAATATAAACACAGACGAGAGACAAGAAGCAGGAGTCACTATTTAATAACATTACAACACTACATGTTGCCTTTGCCTAAAGCCTGCAAGTGATACACTAATTTGCCTTGCAGTTTATGCTCAATTACTGGAAATGGAAAATTTCTCATCGTTATATATAATTTTTATAATTATTATAAAATTATAATTTTAGTTAGATCTTTTATATTTTATAGGCAGCTGCCTAGTCTGCCTAGTGCCTTGCACCGGCTCTGCTGAAGTGGCTATCATGGCCTTGGGGAGGTGAATTGAAATAAATATAAAAAATATAAGTATAGAAATATAGTAGGCTATACTTGAACACATATAGATAACAGTGCTCAAATAGGTTACTTTTAAGTATAACAATAGAACAACACAAAATAAAAATATTCTAAAAACAACATTATGGTAATAAAAGTATAAGTACATTCAGCTGTTAAATTAAAGGTTATAAACATCATCTTAAGAATAAACAATATTGCCTGTAAACAAAGTCAAAATCAAAATTTATCAAAAAATTCCAAATAATGCATAAAGTTAAGTTTATTTATTATTTAATTATTATCATATTGCAGGATATAAATATTAAAACGCCATTGGTTGGAAAATCAGTAAATTAATAAAAAAAAGGCAGATGCTAATACCAATACCAATGGTGCAAAAAGTGGCCAATTAAGCCAATACTATTGCCAATAAATCAGTACATCACTAGTCAATATACTTCTCTAAAACACATCACAATACTCTAAAACACATCTCTAAAATAATACAAATACAATACTCTAAAACACATCTCTATAATAATACAAAATAGTTAGTATAGAGATGTGTTCATATCAGTTTTACCATTTTTAGACAAGTCTGGGGCCTTGAATTTGGGTATTGAAAAAAACTGGGTCTAGCTACACAAACTTCCCCTATATTTTTTAGATCTTTCAAAACTTTCAAAATTTTAAATCTAAACAACTTAATCTTAAGAAACAAATCTTAATACTTATTAAAAATGCTTAAACGATAAGCCTTGCAATCATATTATATAAAATCTTTGCTTACTTTTGTGCCTTGTTTAAAGCTTCTAGTTTTTTTCTTTGTTTCTCCTTGTTTAAAAACTGTTTTTTTTTCTTTTCAGTGTTTAATTCCTTCGGAATAATTCTCTAAATATATTTTTAAAAAAACATATATGTATAAAGAAACATACACACTGATGACTATATCAGTCAATGTATATACACTTTATTGCGCTTATGGTTATATCAGCTGATGTATGTAAACTTTATATAAAAACAGAAATAAAAAGGATAAATAAAAAAATGAAAAAATATTAATATGTAAAAAAAATTATCTATCAACAAATATAACAGATTAGTCATTAAAGTTGTTATTTTTGCAACTTAAAAAAAAAAAACAATAAAATTCAATGCACATTATTTGTTTAACGGTTTTGTTTTTTGGTAGCAAAATAAATGTACTTAAAAGACTTTTTTTGCCATAAAAGTTTCTTTTGCAAAGTAACTAAAGATATATCTATATATTTAAAAATATTTTTTAAATATATAGATGTTTAATTAAAAATTGGATTTTTTTGTAATTAAATTCACCTTTTTCTCCAAATCTAACAAGAGGGACATTATATAAGAGGGTCACTGTATTTGAGGAGGCTACTATTTTACTTTTTCTTGTTTTATACAATATTACGCGGATACATTTTACTATTCTTATTTTGAATCTTTATTTTCAACCCTTAACTAATTCTTTTTCAATGTAATGATGAGAATTCTTTTTATACATCTGTGCAACCTCCTTTAATTGTTACAACAATATTAAAATTTTTACAGCATTTAGCCATTTCATTAAGTTTGCACTTTAACAAATCCTCCCAAACTGGGACATTGCTCATAAATTTTTGAAAAGTTATGTTAAAATTGCCTTTTAAATTTTTGAAAAGTTATATTAAAATTGCCTTGCCAAAGTTGCCTTACCAAAGTTGCTTTGAAAAGTTATGTCCCAAAATTGTCTTCATAAGTTATGTCAAAATTGCCTAAATTATATAATGCTTAAAATGCTTTCAAATTATCTAATGCTGCATAGTGTAAAAGTATGCAGATCATTAACAAACTATGGTATTACAATAACAGTTCACAGACTCATCAACAAAAAGTACCAAGGCTTTTGGGTTTGGATCTTCAATTCGACTATGGTATAGTTTAGATAGGTTTCCATTATACTACTTTCTAAATTGAACATAACATAATGAAAAAGATAACTTGATTTTTTACAACTGGATGTAAACCTGATTTATGATTACGTCCAGCATTAACCTGATTTGCAGAAGATTCTTATATTAGTGTGGCACTACAATTATAAGAATTGCCATACAAGTTTTCCTCTATCGTTAGCCACAATTAATTTATTTTGATTTATGTAAGAGACTTCCTTCATCCTCGGTAAGTTGCCTTAACTTAAGTTTGCTATCCTTGGTAAGTTGCCACAGATAAGAAACCTCACCAGCCCCAAATTGTATATATCTAACATCTAAGGCAGAAAATTTCAACCATTTTTAGATAAAACAATGTTTTAAGTGAATGTACACTTTATAAAATAACTAAAAAATACTTAGCAAACACACAATTGACATAAACTAGTTAAAATAGTTTAGTAGCACTAGTTAAATTTAAAGTTGTATAAAATTAAATCAGAAACTGAAAGCAACTGAAATTTCATATTTGTAAAATTACATCAGGGGTAATTAAGAAAAACCATCTTTCTGTGATATAAAAATTAGTTGATATAACACATAATATATTGAATAAAATCAATTAATTTATAGCCACATAAAAGTTGTAAAACAATATGATGACTTTTTATTGAAATTTAGTTGTGGATTCAGTGAATAATGGCAATACCTTCAAAAAAGTTGATAAGTAGACTGGAATCCTTTTTTAAACTGTCAGCAACTTTATGAAAAAGTATAATTTGATCGGAACTACAACTGATATTGTTTGAAGAGGTTGTAAAATGAAAATATCTGCTTTGATTGAAACATCATTTTACAAGTAAAACAGATTTAAAAACACAAAATCAAGATTTCCACTCATACTATCTAGAATGGAATCTGAGAGCAAGAATATCAACCAATTTGACTCCAAGGCATGTAAAAAATTGATTATATTATGCAAAAAATTGAGTGAACCCATGCCCATGGAGTATAATTTGAACTAATAAATCTTAATCTAATTTGATGTCATCAAATGACCAACAAAAATTCTGAGGAAAATAAAGGGAGGTACGAATAGAAAAGTAAAACACGGTTTTAGAAATGTCATGGTGTGATGATTAATGGCTTGGCAAGGAGCTGGAAAATTGACTTTCATGAATCAACTAAGAAAGGAAATTTGTATATTGACATTTTAAATTAAAATTTGAAACCCTCCACTTGTATATTTGAATCCAGAAACAATTTTAGGTTTCAACATGAAAATAACTTAAAACATATTGTCAATTTAACAAACATTTTTGAAAGAAAAAGGGTATTCATAGATTTCAGAAGGGTTCAACTTGTCAGATGCTATAGCAGATTGATCAAAGGGAAAAATTGCACTTTAAGCAAATGATTGTACTAAACTAGTTGGCTTAAAAGAGGTATTGTAAAGTTTTTACAATAAAGATGGAAAAAAAATTTCCCAACCACCTTCATCCTTGACTCGGTGTACCAATTGGCCAGAACTTCACAACATACATGTTTAACTTGGCAAAAGATTCCCACATCAAGTGGCTGAAGCAAATGAAAACAGCGTGCTGGCTAACACAAAATAGTTATATGATTTTTAACTGCTTTTTTAATAGTTTCTAAAGAAATATTACTCATATGACCGTCAAAAATAAGCAAAACAGGCTTGAGAGTGTCTTTCAACCATAAAACAAAAAAGTTAAAGTATTCAGAGAAAACGTCTGTTTCTATCCCACCGTTTTTTGTTACCCCATATAAAGACCCTTTGGTCCACCATCTTTATACCACTCTATATACAAATTTTTTGACATTTTTTATACAAATTCTTCTTTGTAAATAAAATAAATGGACGAAAATTTCTTCCTGCAGCTGATACTGTTGCTAGTACAGTAAACTGTTCTTTTGCTGATCCAGGGGCAATAGTTACAGGATTTTTTATTTATTGGGTTAGTGCAAAATCTACTTTCATAACAGTTTAGTATTTGAGCAGATCTATTCTTGTCACATTTTTCCAATGTAGCTTTAAGTAATGAAAATCAAGCGCCAATTACAGTTTTGTTACAAGCTAAGGCTCTTGTTAAGCAGTATACTGGAACCATTATTAGAAGTAGTTTACTCGTCAACTCAGCGAATGTTCCTTCGGCATCTTTAAACTTATAAATTGTGTCAAATTCAATTCTTATCTGAAGATAGAATGTAAGTATACCATTTTATATCAGATATTTTGTTTTACTACAAAAAAAAAAGTTGGTAGGACATCAACAATAACAAAATTTTTCACTTACAAACTCAATTTTTTTCAGCAAAGAAAATTGTTTGACTATTTTTATAACTGAATCATTGCCTATATTAGCAAGTTCTACTCTTCTACTAGAGTGAGACAATGTAAATGTTTTTTTAATTAAAGCAGAATCCTGTTTCTCCTTTGGTTTTTTAACTCTTCAATGATAATCTTTTTGCAGTCAGGGACAATAGTTACAGGATTTTTAATACTTCTATTGCAAATAATTTTTTTATTAGGTTAGCGCAAAACCCACTTTCATCACAGTTTAGTATTTGAGCAGATCTATTCATAATGTCACATTTTTCCTATGTAGCTTTTAGTAATGAAAACCAAGCGCCAATCACAGTTTTGTTACAAGCTAAGGCTGTTGTTAATGTCAAAAGCTCTGGAGTACTTATATATTTTTTTTTCTGCCAATGATTTATAAAAATACAAAACCACTGATCACCAGCAACACCATTCACAATTTTTTTCTGAAATCCTTTATTTCGATATATATTGAACAAGTTTCATAAATTGTTTTTAATCCAATCCAAATTCAAAATCAGAAAATACAGATGAAAGCGAAACTAGATCTTTTTCAGCATTAGCAGATAATCAGTTTGGTTGCCCTTTACTAAATTTTGAGCATTTTATGCCTAGAAGATGTCTAGCAATTGTACTTCTTGGAACACCATATTCTTTTGATGCCGCATATGAAGACATTTCTTTATTTTTAACTTTAGAAATATAACATTTTGCAATAAATTAGGTGCATGTGTTTTTCTTCAAGATTCTTTTTTGTTAATGTAGTTTCTTGGCATTATTTTAATATATTATATTTCTGAAAATAATTTTAAGAAAATTAAAAAAAATTATTTTAAGAGCAAGCATTATAGTTAAGTAATTACGATGTAAATACAAAATATATAGTTCTGTAAATATACAGTTCTGCTAAAAACTTTACTCCCAACAGACAGAAAAATAAGGGGTAAAGTGAACTAAATTGATTTATAAACTAAAAACTTAGCTATTTTATATCATGATAAAAACTACAACTTTTTTAAAGAAGCATTATATTATCTTTAAAATGTACATAAAGTATACAACTGATACTTGCATTAATAAGAATGCAAGTATCAGTTTGGGAACGCAATCGCAAAGTTTGGGAACGTAATTTTAAAACTCGTATTTTAAAATGGCTATTACATCAAAACAAAGGCTAAATTTCAATTTTTTTATTGAAAAACTTTAAATGTTGTATTAAGCAAAAATAATGCTAAATTACTTAAAAAATTTTTTTTAAATTTGATAAATTTTCAATTTAAAAAAATATTTCACTTTACCCCAGTTTACCCTATATGACACTTAAAACTCACGCTGATTAAAGATAAGAAATGCATTTTTTTTTAAAAAAAGAAAAGAAAAAAAATTAGAATTAAAGCTAAAAAAATAAAAAATTAAATATCTAGAAGAAGGAATAATAAACTTAGAAATTAAAAACACTGCAAAATAGTAATAATAAATAATAAATGTTACAAACAATGTATAATAAATAATAAGTCATGGAGTGTTATATAGGAGTTTGATGATGTGAATGCTAGAAGTGCTAAAAGCAACTTTTCAAAACAGGGAAAACCAAATAATTACTTTAATATTGATAAGACTGAAGCAGAAAGAATTTCTATGAAGCCATTAAGGTCTAAAGTACAAAACTTAACAACATTTCAGAACATAACTTAAAAACATTTCAGAAATAAACAATAACTTATTATGGTATAAGATGTAGTAAAATAGTCAAACTAAACAAAAAGAAAACTTGAGCATTAAGTGACAAATAAAATAATTAACATTAATATTTAAAAGAACTGTGACCAGTATTCAAACTTTTACTGAAAAAATAAATGGTAAAGCAGTTATAAAGATAAATAATGTCAGTTTTAAGTTCTGGATCCAACTTGAAAAAAGTAAATTAAATGAGGTTATAATTAAAATAAGTTTTTCAGATAAGATCCCAGATTTAAAATAAGTTTAAGGGTCTTGAGCAACCTCTAAAAAAATTTTAAATTTAGCATTAACTTATTGCATAGAACACATTTAGGGGGTATCATCACACATTTTCAAAAATGTTGTTTTATGAAACACCCTAATATAAATATATAAATATATATAAATATATATATATATATATATTTATACATTTATATATATGTATATGTATGTGATATATATATATATATATATATATATATATATATATATATATATATATATATATATATATATATATATATATATATATATATATATATATATATATATATATATATATATATATATATATATATATATATATATATATATATATATATATATATATATATATATATATATATATATATATAACATACATATACATATATATAAAACATATAAACATACACACCTTTCTTTTTTTGCCACTTGCAAACACCTTTTGCAGTATTCTAAGAAATGTATGGAATTAACTACTTTGCATTAACTATAACTAACTACTTTCAAAAAAAAAATAAATAAATAAATTACTTATTAAAAATTTAAAAAATTACTTATCATTGGCACTCTGAGATACTGGTTTGAAGTCTAAATTCCCTTCGTTTATGTAAAACCCACCATGTTCAGTTGTCCAGTCAGAAGGAACAACTTCATCATACTAAAACATTAGTGTTATAAAGAAAAATCAAACAATCAGAAAAAAATAAGCACTTGATATAGATTTTTTATTTATCCACAGATATCTGCTTTCAGTTTTTTCTGTATATACTTATACTGTATTATTATTATTTCTGTAAATATTATACAGCATACTATATATTTATTTTCTTCTGCTTTTTTTTATTTTTTTTTAAATTATGGTGTAAAATCATTACGTCCATATTAAAAAAAAACTAAAACAGCTTTATACAGCCTAACAAAAATTGATATGAAACAGCTTTGTAAAAAATAAAACTTGATTTTTTTCTTATGATAAAAGAGTTCTTAAAATAAATTCATTAACTGCTAGTAAGCAAACAACGGGAATTTTGTATGTTCCGAAATAAGAAATGCTACTAAAGAATTAAATATTTTTAGTAAAATGTTCAAAAAAAAAAAAATTTTCTCATAAAAACTTTGGAATATAACCTAAAGTAAGGTTTACCAACAGAAGCCCTTAGCAATTGAAGTCGGAAAAAGTTAAGCTATCAAAAAAAATCTTTCGTGGTTTCTACATTCAGGGTTGCCACCAGATAAAATAATTATATTTCCAGGACTATCCTTTAGTCAATAAGAGATTTTTAGTTAAAATTGTCAAGGAGTTGTTTACTAATACTAAAACCATGCTCAATAAAAGATTGTCCATGTGAAAGCACAAAAACTATTTTAAAAACGCTCCAAACGTCTTGATAAGCTTTATTTGCTCCAATAAAGTCAGAGAAAAATGATCAACACTATTGCTTTTAATATCGAAATCTTGAAATGATTTTAGATTTGAGTCTACTATTTTTAAAAACTTATAATATTGATTTTTCACTAGTTTGGCAGACTTTAGTGACAAATGGCCACATTTAACTAACTTTTGCAACAGAATGGAAAAAATATTGATACAAGTATTCTTTTTATTTGGATTTGAAATGAAAATTGGGTAAATAGATAATGCAGTGAGTATTATGAAAACCTTCAAAATTATTCATAACTATACAACAATGCAATAAATACTAATTGAAAAAATATATATCAACAGTCTATATATTTACGATTCATGAAAACCTCTATGGATGTGTAAGTTTTTTTCAAGACTCTTTAAAGTACAAATTTTAAAAACTAGAATGATATTTTAAAAATAATAGATTAGAGCAATTATATTAGTATAATTTACTCTAACTAGTATTGTAGTTGTAATGTTGTTGTATTGTTTTTCTTTACTTAAAAACAAACAAAAAAATATAAAATATTATCCCATCTTCCAAGACAATTCCAGGACAATTTCAGAACAAAAAATGTTCAGAAAAAAAAAGTTTCAGAAAAAAAAAATTTCAGAACAAAAAAATCCAGGACTTTCCAGGACTAGAGGAACCCTGTATATTGTACACAAAAATTATGAATCTATCTAATTTAAGCCATTAAACAGTTTAATTAGCTGACTCGTGGTCGCTTATATACTCAGAATAAATAGATATATACTCAGAACAAATAAATTTCTGTGGAATTGGTTTGTCCAAACAAAAGATAAATTAATTTAAATAGATTCAGCTTTTTTTTTAAATCAATTAAAGTTTCTTTTCTTTTGACTTTAGCAAAAAAAATGTAATGCTAACACATTAGCTACCAGTTTGCTCTCACTTTTATTGAGAACAACAACAAGCTGATATGCTACCAGCTTAATTATTGTACATTCTTTAACCTTTAGAAGTTTGAGTCTATTGTCATGTAAAAAGATTTGGTGTTAAATACATAGATGAGTTTTTCCGGGAATTCCCGGAATTCCGGAAATTCACATCAAGTTTCCGGGAAATTCCGGATGCTTTTTGCTATTGATTTTTAAAAAGTTATATAAAATTTTAAACACGACATGGTTTGCATTTAAGCAATTATGTTTTCTATAAATGAAATTTTCACAAGATCAATTTTTTCAAAAAATTATTTTCTTTTTAATTCATTCAAATTAACTTTTTCGAATATTAGAAACTCTTTTTCTTGAGAAGTTAATTGATGTAAATTCCGTTTTAAACGTTTGCAAAAGATCTTGTCGTTAAAAATTACTATCAAGAAGAAAGAAAAGAAAATGCAAGTTAAGAGTTTATCTGACATTTCTGAGATAGACAAAAATATTAAAAACAAGTTTCGCTGGAATTGGCTTCAAGAGAAAGACTATAATGATGAGCATTATTCAGCCTATATTACAAAGATAAATAAAGCCGGAGCGGTAAGTTTATTCTCTAACTGAACACTGAAATATACAACTTTATCATAGTTATATATTATTTGATTTGATGTTTTAGGTATGATGTACAATATGTAATAAAGACTTTTATTATGGAAGTGAAGGTAAATAATCTTTACTCAGCCACTCAAAGTCTAAAATGCATCGTCAAAACTGCGCAATGATTAAGTCCAACGAAGCCATACCGTCGTCATTTTCCGGGATTTTCCGGAATTTTCATGAAAATGACTTTCCAGGATTTTCCGGGATTTTCAAAGAAAAAAATTTCCGGGATTTTCATAAAGTCAAAAATTCATCTATGTAAATATTAGATGAATATTGCACTAACTTATTATGTACCAATTAAAACTTCTTCACTTGATATCATCCTTCTTTAAAATATTGCAGGTTTTTAAAACTTTGACTTAACTCTGGTGAACATGTTTACAAATATTTCAACAATTAAAAGCCGCTCAATCTCTTCTCAACTGAATACACTTGTGTTCAATCTGTGAACCAGCTTTAACTCAACTATGTGAGTCTACCCAATAAATAATAGTAACTTACCCATACATGCCAGTCTCAATCAAAAATTGTAGTAAATCTGAAGTAAATGTTAATCTAATTCAACTGCAGTTCAAAGAAAACTTCATTTTAATTTTATGCAAAGTAACTAGCAATTATATAGTTAATCAATGCAACAAACATTGAAAATTCAAACAAAGAAAATGCAAGAAGTGCCTTAAAAGTTAGAACAAAAATGCAACTAATAAAAATAATTTTATAAATGTCTATTGCCTAAGATGGGTGTGTTTTGCATGCTTTCCAAAAAAAAAAAACATGCATAGCAATGAGTTTTTTTGTATCAAAAAATGTAGAGAATGATATTTTTTATTTTATCTTCTTGTCTTTGTAGCTAATTGTATTATTAATCTATTCAATTGCTTTTTTTCGACTACTTGTATAACTTTAATTTTATGGCTAATTAATATATTTAACTGAAAAAAATTTTAAAATTTAAATGCTTCTAACTTAAAAAAAAATTTGTAAAATAAATGTTTCTTAAATCTATCACAAAATTAATCTAATGTTTCTTAAATCTATCACAAATTTTTGTTTTAGATTTTAGTTTTTAATAGATTTTTATTTGAAACCATTATTTTTATTTGAAACCATTATTATTTCTATAAAGACTCAGGTTAATATACTTAATAAAAAATCTATTGTTATATGGGACTCAACATGTAATGAAATATGATGCAGAGTGATTTTTTTCAAAAGATAAAAAAAACTAATGATTTTTTAGTTACTTTCAAACTCTTGATCTTTTTTTCATGTTAAAATTGTAACTACATAATGGTTATTGAACAGTTATAACTTATTGAAAGTTTTTGTTTTTATTCAAAGCTTTTGCTTTAACTAGAAGATTTGGGTACAGGGTTAATGAATTCATAATTTATTTTTATATTCTAAAAACGTGTTTTTTTAAAACTTAAACCATCTGAACTAAAGTAGAATTATTTTTTTTTTACTTAACTCACCTCCCCAAGGCTTTAGAAGAGCTCCTCTTCAGTCAAGGAGGTTACTCGCTTTTTTTTATTGGCAATTTTCTTAATTTGAGAAAAATATGAATTTCAATTAAAACGTTCAAAATACTTTCTCTTCCAAGATGATAAGAAAAAAACAAATCAAAGTTTGATATAAAAACTGTTTTTGTTCAAGCTAAAAAAAATAAATAAAAATTTATATAAAATAAACAAACAAAAAAGAAGTCATACTGCTTCAGAATTGTCAAGAAATGAATCTGACTCATCATATCCATAACCTATGTCAAAAGTCTATAAAGTAAAAAAGAAAAACCTTAAACCTTTTTTTTATTATTAATATATATGTATATATATATATATATATATATATATATATATATATATATATATATATATATATATATATATATATATATATATATATATATATATATATATATATATATATATTTATATATATTATAATAAATATATATATATATATTTCATAATATAAAAATATATATTTATTATAATATATATATATATACATATATATATATATATATATATATATATATATATATATATATATATATATATATATATATATATATATATATTATAATATAAATACATACATATTTATTATAATATAAATACATATTTATTATAATATAAATATATATATATATATATTTATTATAATATAAATACATATACATATATTTATATTATAGTAAATAATAGCAGTCCTGTCAACAGTTAGTTTAATAAACTGTTTAATTTAAATTATAAAGTTTATTTTTCACTTCCAGACTTTCAAAATAAAAAATACATTAATGTGCGATAAACTAATTGTCGGTGCTAATTAATTAGTGCATTAATGTGATAAAAATGTGTTAATTTTTTATGAGGTTAAGCTTTTTTTATTGCTTCCTCTTACTTTAAACCTAAAACCCAACAAAAAACTATTACAAAAATCTTACATCTAAATGCTTGCTTGCTTTTTTTTTTTCATTTAGTGATGCAGAACCCTTAAAGAAGTCATAAAACACAATAAAAAACAGACACATGAAAAAAAAAACATTAAAATAAATATTTATTACATATTTTTGTTCCAATTTTTTTGCCAGTGCTTTTAATGTGGAATCTTCCTCAAAATTATCTAATGATGAATCTGCAGTTGAATTTACTTTTTGCTTAAAAAACAAAAACTTAAAATAAAATGTGGTATATTCATTTTTAAAGAAAAGTATTTCATGCAATAAAAATATGATTAAACTTTCTGTCTAAAAGTCTCTACACCAAGCCTCTAGCTTGTTACTTTCTAACTAAGTCTCTAATTTTTGAACTTCCAAACTGAACTTTTTTTTTTCTAAACTAATTTTTCTGAGAACTAAAATATAAAGCTTTTAAAAAGAAGTAAAATTGAAAGGAAAAAAACAACAAAAAAAAACTTACTTCTGATTTGAGTAACAAAGAATAATCAAACTCCGGAAATGATGCATCATTAGATGGAAACAGATTCAAATTATATCTATGAACTAATTCATTTTGAGTCTTGTTATTATCAGGGTTACCAAGCTTTGGTTTTTCAAAAGAAACAGATAAAGTAATCCTTTTACCATCAGACATTTTCTAGATAATAAAAAGTAAAGTAAAACTGCTGCAAAACATTGTTTACTAAAAAAATATTACTAGAGTGCATTAAACACTATCATCTATTAAATTTATTTTTACCTAGTATGTCAACAATAAGAATGTAGAATCTAACATATTGTTTGAACTCTGATGAATGTTATATAAAATCTGACAGATATTATGTAGAATTTGACAAATATTATGCAGAACCTGATGGATGTCAACCTTTTTAATTAAAAAAAAAGTAATGTTTGTAAATGTGAATTCCTTTTTTTATCTATTATTTTGTCTCTATCCTCTCTATTAGTACTTACCATTTTTTACTATATACCAAGTAAAATATAATTCAGCTAATGGCAAACTTTTATCTTTTTATTCATTTAAAAACATTTCAAGATCACTTAGGTATTGATGATTGTTAAGATAATTAACTTCCATACAGTATTTTGGAAAAAGAAAAAAAAGAACAAGGAATAATTTTTTAAAATTTAATGCTGCACAACTTAAACCATCAGTTGATGTAGCAGCACTTCCTTTGTGCGTTTTCCATTTATTAGTCATATGTACTGAAGCCTATGCAGCTCCCTAAATTAGTATACCTAATAATTTTAAATCCTTTCCCCTAACTTATCTGGTCTCAGTTGCATTTTCTGAAACTTCATTTTATATAATTTTATATTTGGTCCATTTGATGACAACTGTAAAATCTTTGATTTATCTATATCAGAAATACATTTTATTAATGTTTGCATAATGTCAGATTCAGTTAAGTGCCCTATGAATTCTGATTTAAGATAAAAAAGTCTTAATCATACCAACTTTGTCATTTCAAAATCTATTAAATTCTTCTAAAAAACTGTATTATGAATTCATCAAATAAAACAGTAATAATATGGTACATTGGATAGCAAAGATAATTTATTTTGATAAAAGAGAGCAAGTCCAAATATTGCTATCTAACTTGCTTTGATAAAAAAGCATTGCAAGTGATATTGCCTAAAAACTTAGAAATGTTACTATTTGGAAACATTTTTTTAAATAATTTTCTAGAACCAGTTGAAGAATTTTTTTAACTTATAGATTGGACAATATTAGGCATTCAATAAATTTCAGCTTTAAGTGTGGTCGACAGCATTTTATCTATTGTTTTTTGGTGACATGCTTATTTAAGCATACTGACACATACTCAAAAAGTTAAACAGATTCAAGAGCAAGTGGCATCAATGAATTGATACTAAAAAAAAAATTTAAAAACTAAATTAAGTTCTTTCTACAACTCTAGTTTTGTATAATATTTCAACAAAAATTGACTGAAAAATGTCAACAAAAATTGATTGAAAAATTGTCCCAGTGTGTTTTTTTTTGGGTAATTTTAGGTAATTTTGGGTTTTATTTTTATTTTATATTTAATTAGTATAATTTATTATTTTAACTTTATTTAAAAGATATTTTAACTTATTTTATCTTGTTGCAAGGTAAAGCATGACAATAGTCACAGGAAACCTTTGTACTTTTTGTAACTTCAGTTACTTCCTCCTATTCTCCAGCCTTCTTTCTACCACTTCCCTTTGACATTTTTAATTATGAAAAATATTACTTTTAAATCTAAAATAAATCAATACATATAGGTTCCCTATTACAGTTTTAAATTTTAATATTCCCTCTTACAGTTTTAAATTGGTTTCAAAAATCTTTTTGATAGTCAGGTAATTTCATGTCAATTGGTCCAGGCAATACATTTCAGATTTTGCTGATTTTTTTTCAGTTGAGAGTACTTTTTAAAATTAGAACTCATTGAAAATTTTAGCCTCCAAGGAGCATCTAAAGTATGACCATTTTACTTTTACCAGATATCCTTTTCTCCCCCCAGAATCATGGTATTTATTTAGAAATTTCATGTCACATAACTTTAAAAATACATGATCGCTTTACTTAAAAATGTGTAACTGGCTACTTTCAGGAGTGATGGATACGATATATTGATCAAAATTTTAAAGTTATTATTAAAAACCTATCAATTTAAGTTAAGTAATTATCAATTTAAATAAGTTTTGGTAGCTTTTTTTATAACTGTTTTTAATGCTCAAGAAACCCATGCAGCCTTGTTAATAACAACAACAAAATTTAATTATTTTCTATTTAATGATCTTCCCTAAAATGTTTTAAGAGAGTACAGTAAGTTCTCATTAACTCAAACCTCTAAGGGTCTGATAAAAAAAATTCTATTTTTAAAATGTTTGATTTAAGCGAAGTAAAACAATTGTTTTTGCTTTCAAGGGACTATAGAAAACAGTTTGAGAAAACAAATCTTTGAACCGGTGTTTGACTTACCAGGAATTAGCTGTACATGTTAATACTAAAATTTTAGAAGTAGCAAATATTTATTGAAATAATGAATTTAAAATGTGATATATTTCTTTTTTATTGACTTTATTGCCATGACAAGATGTTTTTTTTCTACTGTTGGATTTTAGTTAATTAAACAACTTGCTGTTAACATTTTAGAATTAAAAAATACCAAATCTTTTCAATTTAAAAAGTTTTAAATTATACAATATAAAATTCTTCTAAACATATGAAATGATCAAAAACCAAATTAAGCAAGTATAAACCAAAAAATTTTTTGAAGAAAATATCAAAGTTATCTTTACTTTGTTGAAAATCCAGAAAATAATTTTTTTTGAGAACAAAAGTGGGGCATGGCCCCTGGTGCCCTAGCCCCATAGACCCTCTGGTTGTTTGCCCTGGAAACAATTTTAACGCATTCATTAGGACTACACAAATGTTAAAGTTTCAGGGCTAAACCTATATGTATTGATTTAATTTGGATTTAAAAGTAATATTTGTCATAACTAAAAATGTCAATAGGAAGTGGTAGAAAGAAGGCTGGAGAATAGGAGGAAGTAACTGAAGTTACAAACAGTACAAATGTTTCTTGTGACTATTGTCATGCTTTACCAAGCAAATATGTATTACAAGTAAATCCCCATTTAAAACAATGGCAAAAAAAATTTGAGTATTCACACAAGCATGCAGGTGACAGTCTCAACATGTCAAAATATTTGAATAAAAATTGTGGTATTGTATTTCAAAATAATAATTTAATTGCATCTGCTCTAATATCTAGACCATCATCTCAAGTTGGAACAAGTTTTTTGGCATCTGTTAGTTTGGTAAGTTTGCCAACACCTTAGAAGAAGTAAAGGCTAATCATACACTTGTGGTAACAGATAATAAAAATAAGATGAAAGTGATGTGATTTATAAAAGATTTAGTTTTGGAAGACTTGAGTCGCATTAGAATTAATTTGTAAAAAAAATATCTTTTTTGCAATATTTTTAAACAATATTTTATAAGTTTATTTTCCAAACTAAACATTTTGTAGTAGCTTTGAATTCATCAGATGTATTTGGATTCAATGTTTGCGTTTAACAAAATTTGGGTATTGCGAAACAAACATTTAACTCTCCTCCTTGTGACTATTTTAATAAAAAGCCAAGAACATTTTTATAACCTCATTCGTAAATGCGCATGCTCTGAAAAAACGCAGGCGCAAGAGCAAAAAAAGTAAACAAAACAGCGCGAGCAAAGTTAAAATGTAAAATTAAGTTTGTCACAAAAGCCAAAGATTCAAATTCAATTCGTAATTAAAAAAGCCGAATAACTGAAGCTATATTTATACCATAATATTAAGCTAACTTTTATAAATATAATTTTACTAAGGTTATATTTTTTCTATAAAAACTAAGTAAAACTTACCAGTAAAATCAAATCAATTTAAGTTTTACACATTCTCCATTGCAAGCGACTTAAGAAAAGAAGTTTTATGAGACAACAGTAAATTGGATACCCGGTTATATATGTCGGTATTATGAAGTACCGGAGAAGTTATGATCAAAAGTTCAACCAATCAAAGAATGTATTTATCCCAGATTACACTCGATTGGATATTGGGTAAAATTGCTAAAGATATCTTTAATTAAATAAAAAATACAAGCAAAAACTTTTTTTTGTGTATAAAGCACTAAAGTGGACGTAAAGCGTAATCAGCTCAAATTTTAATGGATAATCTTAATGATTTTGATGATATACATATATATTATGCTTATCACAACTGATTATAGTTCTTGTTATTTGTGGTTAATTTAATTGAGTTTTTCAGTCCTACAGCAGTAGCTTTCTTTTTTAATGTATTCATAACAGTATAAAAAGTAAAAAAATATTAAAAGTACTACGAAAACTTACCTTGGCTCTGAGCAACATTTTTTACGTTTCTTGTGTGTTATTGAGTAAATTGGATATAGTTATCAAAAAATTAAGAGGCCAGTTTTAAAAGTTTGGAAATCAGACTTATGGAAAGGTATTGAGGAGCGGAAAAATAACAAAAATTTAGAAAAATATTATGATAAGGTAGCCAATTTTGACAAGTCTGATATTTTAATAATGCTTCTAGACCTGGAGCAATAGCAAACATGACATTAGAGAAGTTTCAATCTGTTGATAAACAAGATAATGGGTATGTTGTAACTGTAAAAAAACATATAAACTCCTACAAGGGACCAACCAGTCCAAATAACTTTTGACAAAAATTTATTTAAAGATACACCAAACTACATTAAGCATGTTAGAGCCGATCTTCCAGGTGTTTCTAAAAAGAAAAGAACTTTGGTTAGAGGTCAATTTGATACTTACTGGTTAAAAGCAATTGGTGAAACATCTAAACAAAGGAATACTAACCCTAATTTAATAAGAAAATATTCTACTACACTAATTCTTAAAAATCACAAAGAAATACCTAAAGATGCAGCCAATCATTTATGTCACTCCCTAAATATCGATAAACAAAATTACAATATTATTGATAAACAAAAAAAGCCAGTTTTGTTTTGTAAAATCTTATAATTTGTTCAGCAAGAATCTGATAATGAATTATCAAAATGCAAGTAAATGATCTTTTCAGTGTTGAAATAAAAATTGTCTCTATTAATAAAAGCATGATTGCTGAAAATTGAATGTCATTAAACTATTCTAGTAGTAAAAGGCTATATCCTATATCCAGTTCTTCACTGCAAGTTTCTTATTTATCCTATTCTGTGATGTTCAAGGAAGGATTTAAAAGAACCAGGAAAGATTCTCTATTCAAGGAAGGATTTAAAAGAACCAGGAAAGAATATACATCTAAAAAACTTTCTCTAATCAATAAGTACTTTGCAAAGCCATATATTTTATTTCATAAACCAATTTATAAAGAAGAGTATGTTAAAATATTCCAGAGCTCAAAGGTTTGGTAAAAAAATTTGGATTGAATACCTTGATAGTAAAAATAAAAACAGAAAGGAAAAAATTGACATATTATTAAACGAATTTGCACTTTAATAAAATCAAGTTATATATATAAATGTTGTTGTAAAAACAATTTATCTTTAAGATTTTTAATGTTATGTATATATATGAAAACTAAAAAAGATATAAGGTCACACTTGTTGTTTTTTATTTAATATTAAATTTTATTCATAATAAGTTTTAGTAAAAGATTTAATATAAATATTTATATTGTTTAATCAATAATTCCAGCTCTTGTTTAATTTATATTATTTTCAGTTTAATTCTTTAGTATATCCTAATATTTAGTTTTTATACATAATATATTGTGAAACAGTAGTTTTTTGAGGTTTCCTTTTAATTTTTTGAAAATTATTTATTAGGGAGGTTTTTTTTATTTAGAACAAAGGGTTTTACCTAAAACCAACATAAGAGGAGTATGTATATAATAAACTTTCAAATCTCTGTTTGACTCAACAAGTAGTCATAAACAAAAAAACAAATAAAAAATTGCCAGCTTAAAAACAGATTTATTTAAAGAATGACATATCCAACATTTATTCAAGTTCTATAAAAAGGTAAATATTTTAATTATTTTACTATATATTTTTTTATTTGTAAGTTTTTTAAATGATTTTTATGTTAATTCAGGTTTTTCACTTAACTAATGTTAACTCAATGTTTTTATTATCATTTAAAAGTCAAGACATTACAGCAACAAAATTAATAAAGATAAAACTTCTTGGCTTTGACCCAATTTAAAAAAATTTAAAAACTAATTCACTAGAACATAAAATTTTCCCCAGGTATGTAGCAATAATATAAAAATGATTATTTTTCTATAAATATGTTTTTTTTTAAAGAAATTAATTTTTAATAAATATTTTAAGATCGGTTATAGGCATCTTGTAGAATATTTGGCATGCTATATGAACATTAAATCTGATAAATTAATTAACTATCAGTTATTTTAATTAATTAACTATTATCTATCAGTCTGACGCCTGTCATCATGCAAAGTTAGGCCTATACTGTATATTTTTCAATGCTCGATATGACATCCTAAAAAGATAGATATGGTCTCTAGGGTGGCATTAATTGTAGCTATTTACTATAAGTCTGTTATTAAATCCAGTAAGGCAAGGCATGCTGTTCTTAATGATTTAAATGACTTTGAAATTTTTATGACAATTAAAATATAATGGAATCATCAAGTTGGAAACTCAGTTTGAGTAACCACACATTGTATTTCTTTACTAAGGTTGTCGTATTATCTTAAGGTGATTCTGATCTGAAAGCAGAATCTAAGTTTTTAATTATTAAGAAGCTTACAAAATTTCCAATTCCTGTGTTATCAGAGATTTTTGTAGAGACTTATTTTGCTGTCATTGTCTCCAACAATAAAAGAATAAAGGACTTAATTAAGAAGCAATATTGTTTTTTTTATATATATACTCACAGGTCACACCAATTCTGTTCAAGAATGGTATTCTTCAAATGATTTCTTAGCTTAGATCCTCTTTGATTTCTTTAAATTCATTTAAGCATTTTGTTCAACTAGTTAGCTAGCTTAGAGTTATTAATGACTGTGCACTTTGATAGAAAACATTGTACACAGTTCCCACAATGAAGATCAATGACAGAGCATTCTTTTGGTAGAGGGATACATTGAAAGCTAATAACAAATGATGCTATCTGAACTGGTAAAGCTAAAACCTATAGTTAAATAATAAATGTAAGATAAGGCTTAAGTTTGAGGTACTATTAACTGTTTTTTTTGTCTTTTGTTTTTTTCCTTTTTAAGATTAAACAATATTTAATTAAACTGTGTTTTTTTTTTTTTTTTAAAAAAAGATTTAAACAATTAATTAAATTGTTTAATTATAAAATTGTTTTAACCTATAAAAATAACATAATGTTCAGCCAATTACATATAGCACTCTCAATTGACAAAAGCAATTGAAATTTTGAATTTAAACTAATTAATTATGGTAGAACAGAATAAGCAATTGCAGTTTATGATTTTCTGAAATTTTCATTATATATATATATATATATATATATATATATATATATATATATATATATATATATATATATATATATATATATATATATATATATATTCTGATGAGTCTTTCTTGATGAAACACAGTGTTAAATGAGAAAAAATTTTGCTAAGTGGTTTTCTACTAATTTGTAATTGCTCTGTTCTTTTAAGAACATTGAGCACTCTTTTTCTAGAATACATTTTAAATTGTTTAAATATATATGTATATATATATATATATATATATATATATATATATATATATATATATATATATATATATATATATATATATATATATATATATATATACATTTTTATAATAATAGTTATGTTCAAGCGTGTTTGTATAGTAGGGATATCCACTTTATCAGTGATGTTGGAATTTTATTACACAGTATTGCAAATGAGTGGGGCAGAGGTCATTATACTCTTTAAAAAAAAGTCATTTTACTCTTGGTTGAGTAAAGGCCATAGATGGTGTCTCGATAAAAAATACTCATCTTAGGCAGATGTTAAATACATCCGGCTGCTGTCTTGCAGAGGGCCTTCTAGGCAAATACTAGACCAGCCTTGCACCCCTTTTTCATCTATTAGACTGGCGCAGATGTATTTTTAATACATTGTTTCCAGTTCAGGATGTTGAATTCTGGATCTTCTTGACTCAATGCATGGGTTTTGCTTGTTTCTCTGTTTTAATGACTAGGAAACTATTCATTCTATTATCTCATTCTAATATCTCCGGATGAGGGTACATATCTAAAACTCAGTTTTATGGTCCTGAGGCCGGCTGGTAGTCAGGTTTTCCGAACTCTGTGGTAGCTCTCAGAGAGGCTTGTATTAACAGTGTCAAGTTGTACATGGATGGTGTCTCTGTTTGTACTTTTAGTGTGCATTGCCAAGGCCACATTGGCCCTCTGTTACGACTTAGGGCTTATTAATAGTAATGAGGCAATTGCTTGGGCTATCAAACAGTGTACTGAGTACTATCTATGCTTCAAGTCAAGTTCTTTAACAAATTTAAAAACGAATAAAGTAACAAAAACTACAAAGCACAAAAAACCATTGCCATCACCAAGTTCTCTAAACCTATCATTTCTAATATTTGTGGTCTTCGAAGTAACTTTTTTCTGTTGAGTCTGATCTCTTGCAAAGTTCACCAGACCTACTTGCTCTTTGTGAGATTAATTTGAGTTTCACTGTCTCATCTTGTGATCTTAGTGTTGATGGTTATCTTCCTTTTATTTGTTAAGACTTCAATAGTCACATACTTGACCTGGGCATTTACATTCATAAGAATTCATCCATTTGTCGGGAAACTAGGTTTGAATCCACATACTACTCTTTCATGTGCTTTTGTTTAGCACCACTTCACTTTATAGCCTTTCTCTTTGTTTTATATTGCTCTCCTTTATCTCAAGACTGCACTAGTTTTGATGTTATTTCTGATCATATTGACCAAGCTCTCTCTCTTTATCCAT